ACAAAGATGCCCTTAGTAGGGCGGCAACTCAACCTAAGTAATTACAGCTCTTTAAAAAATAAAAACTAATGGGCCCAAGGCCCAACAACATCTTAATTTAAAAGGAAATAAACTAAACACAAGTCAGCCCACTCAACATAGCTTTATAATGTAATATAAGTATTTAATTATTTAATATATAAATTTCAATAGAATGTACAAGATACATTCTAAATTGCAAATATGATGCAGCCATAGCAATAGTATTATAATGTGGCACCTGCCTTGTGATTTTTGTTGCATAGGCAGCTCCTTGACAACTAACTAATCTCATTTTTCCTTTCAGTGGTTTATTTGGATACTGATCCAACTTCTGCAGCCATTGTCATGAATTTGTGACCACGTGAGCTGGTTTAAATGAATTTCTAATACATTTATGTTGGTGTTTGCACAGATCTTAAGGACTTGCCCCTTATTCACAGCTATGACAGCATTCAAGCACTAACTCAAAATCTTGAGAAGTCTGATAGAGAGCATGACCTTGTTGTTGCTGTAAGTTGGATTTTGTTTCAATCAATAAGAAGATAAAAAGTGCATTCATTATAAAGAACATGATGTGATGCAGTGATTTCATAAATACAAACCTTCTAACTGAATGCCAGGGAAGTATTAGCTTTTTGTTTAGTCTTTTTTTGAAAGACTAGTTATGACTTGTTGGTGATGGTTTAATCATTACACTATTGCTTAAACATGTTTTTTAGCCATGGATTTTTGAATAGTTTTCTCTCTTTGTAGTTAAGGGGCATGTTTGGTTCAATTGTAAAATCTGGACCCCCAGATAACTTGTACCAACATTGGGTAATGCCAACGGTCATTCTGGGCTTTATAGTTGATCATATGTATGTGAATGATCTCTGTGACGCAACTCAGGTGTCTCTGTTTCAACACTTAGTAATTCATCAAGAATATCTTCATAAAAATTACTTGGTTGGGGAATTACTTTGAAGTCATTTACATTAGGAAAGACCCTGCACTGATATGAAGTGGGATTCCTATGGTTTTTCACTTATTAATAATGCTTTTTGATTGTACCAATCAAAACAGAAAAAAAAAATCCTTCGGTTGAGAGGGAAACTCAGTCAGAAAGGGACGGAAAACCAGAAAATACACAAGTTTAAGGACAAGAAGGAACTGATTGCAGTCCCACTGGCTCTCAGCAAGGAAATGGCAGACCCCATACCCCTGAATTTTTCTCCAAGTATTGATCCAAAGAGTATCATCCCTGGCAAAAGGCTAAGTCTCAGAAACCAGAATTTTCCAAATCCTAGTGTGTCTCCCTCTCAGTCACAAGGTATGATATCTTCTTTGGTTTTTCTGGGTACTAATCTTTCTTCTAGTCCTTTGCTCACAGGAGAGACCAGCCCGACATCCAAGTCTGCTAGTGCCAGTGCTTCGACAAAAGTAGTGGGTAGTGATAAGATGCCGACAGTTGACGGGGAGGAAGGTGAAAGAATCTGGGAGATGATTTTGGAGGTCTTTAGGATCATGACTAGAAAGTGAGAGGAGAAAGGGTGGGGAGGGTGACAGTCCTCTTCCTAGGCTAGACGAGGTGAGGAAGGATTATAAGCTTTGACTACAAGGAAAAAAGGGTCACAAAAAAATAATAGGAGAGGTAGGGTTAGAAAAAGGGTCAGAAAGGAAAAGCTGAGTGAGCAAAAGGGTCGAAGCAAGATCACAGGAGGCTCAAACAAGAAAAGGAAGAAGAAGCTAACTGAGGTGGAGAGGTTGCGGTGTGATGTAGTGTATGACAAAGGGAGTGTTGGAAGAAAAGATAGGAAAAGGTAAAGCAGAGGGTGTGAATAAAAAGGGGCATAGAGTTTAGTTTGTTTCCACTTGAAGATTTCAAGCTGGAATGTAAGAGGTTTGGGAAGAGCAAATAAAAGAAGAGCAATAAGAGAGTTGTTAAGAAAGGAGAAGCCAGACTTTGTGCTGATTCAAGAGTCCAAATTGATGGATGTGGACAGGAGATGGATAAGATAGATATGGACTGCTAGGGGAATTAGCTGGGCCTTATCACAATCTTGGGGATCTTCTGGAGGAATCATCACCATATGGAAGAACGATAATTTTGAGTGCATGGAAGAACTGATAGGAAACTTTTCAGTCTCAATCAAGATAAAAAGAAAGACAGATGGTTATGTTTGGGTTCTAACCAACGCCTATGGGCCGAATTCTTACAGGGAGAGAGAAGATTTTTGGGAAGAGTTGGCAGCAATCAGGGGTCTGTGGGAGTGACCATGGTGTTTGGGGGGTAATTTTAATGTGATTAGGTTCCTTCATGAAACAAATAACCCTAGCCATAAGGTTACCTCCAGCATGAGAAAATTCAATCTTTTTGTAGATACAAATGAACTAAGAGAGCTGCCCCTTCTTCAAGCAAAGTTCACTTGGTCTAATTTTCAAGAGATACCTATTTGTTGCAAGCTAGACAAATTTCTCTTTTCTCTAGATTGGGAGGAAGGGTGGCGGAGTCTAATGGTTAGGGCTTTATCTAGAACTACTTCGGATCACTGTCCTATCAGCATCTCGGAAGAAAAAGTTGGAGGAGGGCCTTGCCCTTTTAGGTTTGAGAACATGTGGTTGCTACATCCGGATTTCAAATCAAAGGTGAAAGAATGGTGGGAAGAAGACCAAGTGGAATTTAGATGGAAGGGTTTTAGATTTTACAAAAAACTACAAAGGTTGAAGGGCAGGATCAAAGAGTGGAACAAGGAAGTTTTTGGATCTTTGGAGGAAAGAAAGACACTCATCTCACATAGAACAGAGGAATTAGATGAGCTGGAAGGGGAAATGACAATAAGAGAGGAAGAGAAATCTGAGAGGTGGAGACTAAAGCATGAGCTGGAAGAGATTTTGAGGAAAGAGGGGATTAGTTGGAGGCAGAAGTCTAGATGTAGGTGGCTAAAGGAAGGTGATGGAAATACAAGTTTTTTCCACTTAGTAGCAAATGGGAGAAAAAGAAGAAACTCTATTGTTCAACTAGTGTGGAATGGGCAAACCCTAACTAGGGAGGAGGATATAGCACAGGCTTTTGTGGATCACTTCAAAGGTATTTTCAATAGTTAGGGAGGCTTCAGAGAGCCCCTAGAAAATTTTGATTGGAGAAGAGGTCCTAGGGGTATTGATGGAATCCCTGGAGAAGGCTTTTGAAGTCCAAGAAATAAACGAAGCTATATTCTCTATGGAAAGATCCAAAGTCCCGGGCCCAGATGGTTTTACAATGGCTTTTCTTCAAGATTGTTGGGAAATTGTGGGTGCTGACTTAGTGGAAATTTTTGCGGAATTCTATGAGAGGGGAAAATTTAACTCAGGGGCAAATGCCACCTTTATCACTTTGATTCCTAAAACCCTAGATGCCTCCAACCCAAAAGATTTTAGACCCATAAGCCTAGTGGGTAGCATGTATAAAATTATCTCCAAGGTGTTAGCTAAGAGGATTAAAAAAGTTCTTCCATCTTTAATCTCTCCAAATCAAGGGGCTTTTGTGTTTGGAAGACAAATCATAGACCAAATCCTTATTGCAAATGAGTGTATGGAGTTTAAAAAACGGAGAAAGGAAAAAGGGCTAATTTGCAAATTGGACTTGGAGAAAGCCTATGATTTGGTGGATTAGGACTTCCTTCTAGAAGTGTTAAGGTTGAGAGGTTTTGGAGCGAGGTGATGCAAATGGATAAGGGGTTGTATTTCCTCCTGCCATTATTCCATTTTGGTTAATGGAGTTGCCAGAGATTTCTTTCCAGCCAAAAGGGGCCTTCGACAAGGTGATTCCTTGTCCCTCTTCCTCTTCACCCTAATAGCAGATGTGTTTAGTGATTTGATCTCAAGGGCTGATGCCAACAATTTGATACGAGGTTGGAGAGTTGGAAGAAATAATGTGGTGATTACCCATTTACAATTTGCAGATGATATCCTAATTTTTTGCAAAGGAGAAAAGGAGGAATTGACAAATTTACAGAGGGTGGTATCCCTGTTTGAAAAGGTCTCCAACCTCAAAGTAAATTGGAGCAAAAATTGTGTAGCAAGGTTAAGTCAGGAGAGAGGAGAGGTTGAAAGCTTAGCTAGCTTGTTGTGTTGTGAAGTAGGTGAATGGCCTTTATAGTACCTTGGTCTACCTTTGGGAGGGAACCCGACTTCTGTCATCTTTTGGGATCCGGTAGTGGAAAGATTCACAAAAAGGCTTGCTGGCTGAAGAAAAACTACATTTCTCTAGGGGGTAGAATAACCCTAATAAAGTGAACATTGACTAATTTGCTAGTCTATTACCTCTCAACCTTTAGGATCCCCTTAAAAGTGGCCAATAATTTGGAGAAACTGATGTGAGACTTCTTGTGGGAGCCAAGGGATACAAAAAAGGATCATTTGGTAAAATGGGAGGTGGTTTCAAGGAGTAGGGATAGTGGAGGCCTAGGGGTAGGAAACATTAAATTAAGGAATTTGGCACTACTGGGTAAATGGTTGTGGAGGTTTCCCTTGGAACAAGACAACTTATGGCATAAGGTCATTGTATGCATCCATGGTATGGCAAACAACGGATGGGACGCTGGCCTTGATCCTAGGGCAACAACGGCTTCTCCTTGGAAAGGAATTCACAATTTGCTACCGTCTTTCCTTCAACTGGTTAGGTATGATGCTTGTATGGGTAACAAAGTTCAGTTCTGGGAGGATATCTGGCTTGGGGACATTCCTCTCAAAGACAGATTTCTACCTATTTTTTCTTTGTCTCTCAATAAAGGGAAAGTGATTTCTACATTGCTTGTTAATGATAACTCTTGGGATCTAGGATTAAGGAGAGGCTTAAGGGAACATGAAATGGGCTTAGTAGATGAACTAATTTCCCTTCTCAACACTGCATTCCTGGACCCTCTTGCCAGGACAACAGAATTTGGTCAGAGTCCCCTTCTGAATCCTATACCTGTGCTTCTTTTTTCTCCGCCCTCCTTCATTCCTCATACCCAGGAGGCTCCTTTCCTACAAAGGAAGTTTGGTGTAGTCCTGTACCCCAAAAAATAAGAGCCTTTTGTTGGGAGGTGGTGCTCCAGAAAATCAATACTCTGGATAATTTACAAAAAAGAAGGCAAAATCATTGCCTCTCCCCTCATGTCTATTGCCTTTGTTTGGGAAATGGTGAGATGGTTACACAGCTGTTACTTTCTTGTTCTTTTCCTTCTTGTGTGTGGAATTGGTTCTCTTCCTTATTTGGCTGCAGGTGGACCTCTCCTCCAGATGTGACAAGTCTTTTCAACCCAAGCTTCTTCCTCCTATCAAAGAAAAGGGGGAGAGTGATGTGGAAGGCAACAAGAGCAGCCATTCTCTGGTCTTTATGGGAAGAAAGGAATAATAGAATATTCCAAGGGGCACAAAGATCAACAGAACAAATTATTGACTGCATAGCCATTAAAGTCATACACTGACTGAGAGTAAGTGACTTATTTAAAGACTTTTTAGTGGATGATTTACAAAGGGGATGGTCAGCAGTGGCAAACTCTTCAACCAAACAGCCTGTCCCTCAGCCTTCTTGGACACCTGCAACACAACAAAGGGGCAAATTAAATTTTGATGGAAGCTCCATGGGTAACCCTGGACCTTCAGGAGTTGGGGGAGTCTTTAGGGATGGGGAGGGCAGAATGGTGGCACTATATTCTGGTCCCATAGGAGTGGGAGACTCTATGAGAGTTGAAATTTTGGCTCTACTACAAGGTCTGAGATTTGCAAAACAACGGAAATTTCAGAACTTGGAGGTGAAAGGGAACTCTAAATTGATAATAGGGTGGCTGCAAACAAAGAGTTTGGGTATATGGAAGTTCAGACAGCCAATAAGGGAAATAATCTGCTTGGCAAGGGAAGTTGGAGTGACTTTCAAATGGGCAAGGAGATAAGCAAATTCTGTGGCAGATAGCTTGGCAAAACAGGGGACCTTTAGGGAAAACATTTTTTGGACTGTACTGTAATTTTTGATGTCATGTTTGGGGTCAACACTCTTTGTTTTGAGTGGCTGACAGTACAAGATGTAATTTGATATCCTTAATGAAAGTCACCGTTTCCAATCACAAAAAAAATGTTGTTGATTATGAAATAAAGTAACTTATTTTGCCTTAAAGGCGTAAATACTACTCTGAATTCCAAAAAAATGGAAAAGTAAAACTCTGTTTTCCCTCTTTGAATTTAGAAATTCACTTAGTTTCCCAGATTTCTTTGGAGCTTCTTGTTCTCATTCTTTAATATTAGAGGTTGGCAGCCTAGACAATCCAACAAAATTTTTTCAATATAACCTTGATGCAGTCCACAATCATGCTCCAAGAAGCATAAAATCATATGCTTAATTGTTAGTGGATTTTTAACAGCTAGTTCATTAAAAGCTCCAATAACTTTTAACAGATAGTTTCTCATTCAATGCTCTAACAATTAGTTTTGCATTTAATGTTCCACCAACTAGCTTTTCATTTAATGTTCCAACAGCTAGTTTTATTCTCTATATAAAGTTTTGTAATCTCAAGCTAGAGGCATCAAGTTCTTTCCTTTGTTTGGAGAAGCCTAGAGCTTTCTTTGAGAGTTGAGAGAGTCCTCTCTTTGGGTGAGTGAGTCCCCTCTTCTTTGGGTGAGTGAATCCCCAACCCTTTGGGTGAGTGAGTCTCTTCTTTGGGTGAGTGAATCCCCAACTCTTTGGGTGAGTGAGTCCCCAATCTTGTTGTCTCATATTGTAATCCATCTCTGATTAATAAAGTTCTATCCGATTCTCTTCTTCCTTTTCCTATTTCTTTGAGCAAATTTTTCCTACATTATCTCTTCATATTTGAACTGCATCAAACTTTCCATTCAAGGTAGCAAGAAAGCAAAGTTTTTTCTGGAGTTGTGTTCCATATGCCGTTTATTGTTGTTAGCACATTTGGAAGGACAGGATCAGAAGAATATTTGAAGATTCTAGGGAAAGTTGAGAAAAATTATGCTCAATGATTGGAATAGTGATCATGAATTATGTCAAAGTTCATTCGGAGATTGCTAACATTCAAAGAAATGAATTTGGTTATTCATTTTGGACTACGTTAGAGATGCTGTGGAGCTTCTGATTGTATTGGAGAAAGGGAGGCTGTTTTCTGGTTTGTTTCTAATTGGAGTGTTCCTCTGTATTTTGTATTCTTCTTGCTCGGAATAGAGTTCATAAGTTTTATAGGATCTCTATTTGAGTGAGGTATTATATCACCGGCCTTGTTTAGCTATTGTTACCTGTTCTTTTTAACAGAACTTTCCTTTTTTAATATAAAGAAAAAGAAACGAGTGAACTTTTAAAATGAGGCAGTTGCAAATTGTTTCTTTGTGGCAGTGGTTGTCATTATATATTGTTGCATTGACAATGTCACATTTGTTCTCCATAGACATTGTTCTATGGTTGACTCCTTAATCTTCTTTCTTCCATTGTTTATGCTACCAAATTGTGCTCTTTTTTTGCTGCAAATTCTGTTATGTTTTTATGATTAAAAATAAATTTTGGTTCATAGGTGGTTTTAAATTTCAATTCACTATTACCTTTTCTTTACAACCAATAAAATCTTACATCCTTCCCTTTTTTCTTCATTATGCTGAAGTCCTATGTGCTTGGGGAGGTGCCATCACTGAAGGACAGAATTACTATGGTTCGCCAACTTTGGGATCTTACACGAGATGTGCTGGTATAATCTTCAGGCTTAAAAGTATTTCATGCCCCGAATTACTTTATTTATTTTATTGTTTCACTTTTTCTGTACCATGTTATCCAACTATCCAAGTATATGATGTGTCCTTACGCTGCTCCACCTGGATTGTTTATTTTTATTGCATTTTATTGTCTGAACTTATATTGTTATATAATCTTCAAGTGCAATGCTTCTTTGCATCCCAAGGGACAATAAAGGATCTAATTTCTTTTTAGAACTGGTGTGGGGGTTGAAAAAAATTCTATTGCTACGTTTTCATCTTGTTTAGCTGCTTGAAGTGAATATCTCTACCCATGCATTGCTAGCTAAATTTAAGGACTTTGAAATTCCTTGCTTTGAAATGGAGACCATCCTTAATTTTCCAACTTTATAGAAAGGAAGATATTATGAAAATATTGAGAATATTTTGCATAAGCATATTATTGCTTTTGATTACTAAATAACATTTGAAATGACAGAATTTTGCAAATAAAGTATTCAGACTTTGTGTAGGAAACTGTGGACCCCACATTAGTGTACTCGTGTGACAGCCTGAGTTGTATTTAAATTTAATCAAGTTTTTGATTAGGATTAGCTTTCCTGGTAGGATTAGCTTTAATCTTATCTTATCTTACCATATAAGCATCAAGTCCTATTACAATTATGAAACTATGTATATAAATTTAAAGGGGGGGGGGGGGGGGGGCGTTTTAAAACACCAATCACTCTCTTCTTTCTAAAACCCTTCCACGAGTTCTCCCTCTCCATCTCTCTTCTTCTCTTCTCCTCTTCTCTTCTTCTTTCTAAAAGATGTCTGTTGTCTTGTACGACTACTTGGTATCAAAGCAAGATCTAGGGCTTCTCATGTGAGTTTGATCCAGCCAACCACATGAGAATTGCCTAGGGCTGGAAGAATAGAGAGCTCTCTTTGGCTGATTCTTGGAGGTTATCTACAGCAGCAGTCCAAAGATTGGATCGTATCTTTGATAACCAGGAAGAATTAGAGGAAGAGAAAAGGATCAAGATCAGTCCTTGATCAGTACTAGAGGTGGTGATCAGAATTTCAGAGGATTTCTGTTCAAGATCAGTTTTTTCCCTTCAAGACTAGAGGATCAAGATCAGTTCTTGATCAAGACTAGAGGTGGCAATCAGAATTTCAGAAGATTTCTGGTTCAAGATCAGCTTTTTCTCTTCAAGATTGAGAGAGAGATTTAAAACTCCAGAAGTTTTTTCTATCAAGATCAGAGTTTTTCAGAAATTTCTGATAGGTTTTCAATCTTTCTTGAGATTGGCAGCAAGGATACCTTGATATAAGAGGTACGGTTAAGAAAAATCTCTCCTTTCTGTATTCCTTTTTCGGGTTTAAGAGAAAACCCTCAAGTTTCAGGGCTGTTATTGCTTCAGGGAGGTAATCAGACTTATCTCCCTCGTTTTCTTTGCTCTTCTAGAAGATCCAGTAGAGCTGTTTCGGCAGGACTGTTACAGTTTTTTTTTTTTTTTTACTGCTATCAGTCTCAATAGGCCGACTGTCACAGAAATTAGGGTTTCTTTTACTGAATCAGAACCCTCCATCTAGACCCACTATTACTTGCTGCAGACCTAGTAGGCCGATTGGTACAATAATTAGGAAGAGTTTTTTTTTAATTAACTTCTGATCAATAATGGAGTTTAAAAGCCAAGGGGATGGTGTTTTTCGGACTGGTTCAGGTAGAATGGCTAAAAACACCTTTTAGATTACAACTGTAAAGTTTGATGGTTCAAACTACTTAGAGTGAGCCCAATCAGCCATGATGGCTATTGGGTAAGAGGAAAACTGAACTATTTGTTGGGGGATGTGAAGGAACCAATTAAGGAGGATCCCATTTATGCTAAGTGGATTCAGGAAAATTATTTGGTGATGACATGGTTGTACAACTCCATGCAGCCACACATTAGCCGAAATTACTTATGGACAAAAACAACTAAAGAAGTATGGGATGTTGTGAAAGAAACCTACTATCAACCCCTTAATGTTGCTAGGGCCTATGAGCTGAAATGTGAGGTTAGAAATCTCATAAAAGGAGAGAAACAAGTCTCTGTTTATTTTTCAACCCTAAAATCTCTGTGGCATGAAATTGACCACTTCGAGACAATTGAGTGGGAGAGTCAGAAAGATGCACAGACTTACAAAAAGCAAGTTGAAACTAACAGAGTATTTGAGTTCCTGGTTGGTCTAAATTTTGAGTATGATATTGTAAGACAGTAACTGTTGATGAGAGTGAGTGTGACTCTGTCTCAAGCCTATTCCCTAGTGCACAGTGAAGAGACTAGGAGAAAGGTTATGTTGCAGTAGCAACCTTTCGATTCTGCCTTGGCAATAGTTAAACCCAAGTCTGGGGGTGATAAGGAAAGGGATATGAAGAAAGAGGCTAAAAAGGACCTAGTTTGTGAACATTGCAAGAAACCTACACACACTAAAGACACTTATTGGAAGTTGCATCCATATCTAGTTCCAACAAAACTCTGAAATAAAAAGGGGAATGCCAATATAGTTGTTAACACTGATAGTGCAACCTCAACGGCCTCAAGAGGCACTCCTCTAGACACCCTAGCTGCTGTCCAAGCTGCTCTGACACAATCGGAAAGTGAAGTTAGTAACTCAGTACCATCTCCTCAGCCACCATTAGCTCCTTCAACCTCATCCTTTACTCAATTTAGTAATCGGGCCTCAGCTTATCATGCTTCAGCTCTAGGTAATACAAAACATTCTTAGAATAATAAATCTAGGAGCATCTGACCATATGACTGACTTGCCATCACTTTTCTCTACCTATCATTTATCTTCTGACAAAGACAAAGTGTCCATTGCTGATGGATCCCTTGTTCATATTTCTGGCAAAGGAGACATCAAGTTGTCTGATGCCATCTCCCTATCCTCCATCTTGAATGTTCCTAAGCTTAATACTAATTTGCTTTCAGTTAGTAGCATTACAAAAAAACAGAATTGTTCAGTAACCTTTTTTCCTAATCGATGTGTTTTTTAGGATCTGGAGACAAGGTGATTGGTGTTAGATAGTGTATGCCCTTTGCTCCAATCAGAATGATGTACATTATCATACCACTACCATGGGGGGTATAGATATTTCCTGTTATTTGTTGATGATTATACTCGGTTTTCTTGGGTTTATCCTATGTGTTCTCGAGATGAGGTTCCAACATTAACCCGGATCTTTCGTCAAATGATTTTAACCCAATTTGTAGTCAAAATTAAAATTTCTAGATCCGATAATGCAAAAGAATATTTTGCAAACCCATTAGCCTCCTACCTACTTGACCATGGGATTATCCATCAGAGTACCTGCCCACATACAACATAGCAGAATGGGGTTGCTGAAAGAAAAAATAGACACATATTAGAGGTAGCCAGAGGCATTATGTTTACCTCAAATGTGCCTATACGTTTCTGGGGGGATGCTGTTCTTATAGCAATTTATCTCATTAATCGGATTCTCTCACGGGTTCTTGACATGAAACCTCCATTTACCCTTTTATACCCTGATAAAGAATTGCTTACCATTCCCCTTAAAACCTTTGGTTGCACTTGCTTCATTTAGATCCTTGGCCCTTATCGTTCCAAATTTGATCCTAAGGTCTCCAAATGTATTTTCCTTGGTTATGCACAAACTCAAAAGGTCTATTGCTGTTATGAACCCACTTTTGGAAAAAGATTTGTCTCAATGGATGTCACCTTCTTTGAGGATAAACCCTATTATCCAAGGGTTTCTCCTCAGGGGGAGAATAGTGAGGCTGGGATTAGCTCATCAGAAGTTCCTTTATCAATCCCATTAATTGAAGAGGGGTGTAGTGGGGAAGGTTGTCAAAGGCGCAGGGATGTGAGAGTCTATCATAGACAATGGAGATAGGTTGATTTCGGACATTAGCAATCTAGGCCAGTCCTAGCCCCCTCTACATATCTAGATCTAGGTACCACAGATACTACAGATGAGAGACATCCCACCATGGAGCCTTCACCTTCATTAAATGACCTTGACCTCCCCATAGTAGTCCGTAAAGGCAAACACCGTTGCACGACATCCACAACTCACTGCATTTCTCAGTTCTTGTCCTATGATCATTTGTCTCCCTCCTACAAGTATCTTTTCGCATCCATTGCTAATATTCCCATTCCCAGAACAATATAGGATGCATTGGCAGGACCAAAATGGAAAGATGAAATAAAAGTAGAAATGGATGCCCTCATTAGAAACAATACATGGGAGATAGTTGACCAGCCTAAAGGAAAGAAACCGGTTGGATGTAGATGGGTATTCACTGTGAAACGTAATGCTGATGGTTCTGTTGAAAGGTATAAGGCCCGATTTGTTGCAAAAGGATTTACTCAGACATATGGTATTGACTACTTAGAAACTTTTGCACCAGTAGCAAAGATGACCACTATCAGAGTCCTATTATCTCTTGCAGCTAGTTACTCTTGGCCATTGTATCAGGTGGATGTTAAAAATGCCTTCCTCAACGGAGACTTGCAGGAAGAAGCTTACATGCAGTTGCCTCTTGGATTTTATGGTACGGAGATAGAAAAAAATGTTTGTCGGTTGAACAAAGCCTTATATGGATTAAAATAGTCCCTAGAGCTTGGTTCGACAGATTCAGATGAGCCCTTGAAAGGTTCGGATATGTGGAGGCCCAGTCAAACCACACCTTGTTTATTAAGAGAGTGGATTCTTCCGTAACTTTGCATGCTGTGTATGTGGACGAGATTGTAGTAACAGGGAGTGATACTAGTAAAATTGAGTCTTTTAAGCAACTCCTTCATCAAGAGTTTGAGGTAAAAGATCTGGGGGAACTACGATACTTCTTGGGCATTGAGGTAGCTAGATCCAAGCATGAGATTTTTGTCTCTCAACGAAAGTATGTCCTTGATCTGCTAGAAGAAACAAGAAAGTTGGGATTTAAGCTTGTGGACACACCTATTGAACAGAACCACATGATTAGTGCAGAGGGTGGAGAACCTCTTGAAGATAAAGCTATGTTCCAACGATTAGTTGGAAAACTTCTCTATCCTTGCCTCACACGATCCGACATCAGTTATGCAGTCAGTGTGAGGCATTTTATTTGACTATTAGTTGGAAAACTTCTCTATCTTTGGCTGTTATTTGGAAAACTTCTCTATCTTTGACTATTATTTGGAAAACTTTTCTATCTTTACCTCTCCCCAGGCAGTGGCATTTTGTTCAGGTAATTTGGTCTCCTGGAAGAGTAAGAAACAAAGTGTTGTTTCTCGTTCCAGTGTTGAAGCTGAATATAGGTCCATGGCAAATGGTGTGGCTGAGATTCTATGGTTAAGATCATTACTTGAGGAATTGGGTATTATTTATGAGAAACCCCTAATGTTGTACTGTGATAATCAAGCTGCCATTAATATAGCCCATAATCCCGTACAACACAACAGAACTAAACATATTGAAGTGGACTGGCATTTTATCAGAGAAAGGGTTACATCTCAAGAAGTATGCCTTCCACTTCCCTACATCACCTTCAACATGTAGCTTGTAGACCTTCTCACCAAGGCTGTTTCAAGAAAGAAGTTAGAGGAAGATCTTTGGAAGTTGGGAATGACAAACATCTACTCCCAACTTGAGGGGGAGTGTAGGAAACTATGAACCCCACATTAATGTCCTCGTGTGACAGCCTGAGTTGTATTTAGATTTAATTAAGTCTTTGATTAGGATTAGCTTTCCTAGTAGGATTAGTTTTAATCTTATCTTACCATGTAAGCATTAAGTCCTATTACAATTATTAAACTATGTATATAAATTTGAAGGGTGGGGCGGCTGTTTTAAAACACCATCCACTCTCTTCTTTCTAAAACCCTTCCACGAGTTCTCCCTCTCCATCTCTCTTCTCTTCTATTTTTCTTTTATTTTCTGTTCAAAATCTAAAAGATATCTGTAGTCTTGTATGACTACTCTTTGCAAACAAAGGGTAAAATTAAACTTCGATGGAAGCTTCATGGGTAATCCAGGACCCTCCAGAGCTGGGGGAGTCTTCAGGGATGGGGAGGGCAGAATGGTGGAGCTATACGGCCGCATAGGAGTGGGAGACTCTTTGAGAGCTGGGGGATTCTAAACTGTTAATAGGGTGGCTGCAAACAATGATGGTGGGTGTATGGAATTTTAGACAGCAAATAAGGGAAATAATATGCTTGGCAAGGGAAGTTGGACTAGCTTTCAAATGGGTAAAGAGGTCAGCCAACTCTGTGGTAGATAGATTGGCAAAGCAATGGACCTTCAGGGAAAACTTTTTTTTTGGGCTGTACCCTATTTCTTGAAGTTGTTTTGGGTCAACACTCAGTGTCTGAGTGGTTGACAATGTATGATAAATAATTGATATCCTTAATGAAAGTTACCGTTTCCAATCAAAAAGAAAATCTTTAATTATAACTTGTTTGAAAGACCACACATATTCCTTATATGTTCATGGTACATGAAATTTAACTCCTTGAACTTTGGAAGCATGCGTAAGATTTTGTTGACGTGATACCTGGTGTGGAAGGAATGTGGACTGTGGAGGAATAAACATTGTACAAATATTTTAGAAGTTGGTCTATGTTCCTTTTGGATGAGATGGCTTACTATTAGTAATGGTGGATTCTTGTTAAACTTTTGCATTGGATGATATTTCCTTGTTTTCTTGTTTTCTTTAATAAGTGCCAAATCTTGGCTAGGTCTTGATTGAGCCAGGAACACCACATGGATTTAACATCATATCTCAAATGCGATCTCATATCTTATGGATGACAAAGAGGGTAAGTTGATTGTTCCCCTCTAATTATTCTTAGGGTACAATGATTGTTTAGGATTAATCTAAATATGTGATAGGACTGCTAAATTTTTTGCAACCTGCTCCTGTAACTTGAGTTGTTATGCTTCACAAGGATCTTTTATCTGATGTATTAATTATTTGTTTATGGCTCATAAGAAATGCCGCAAATCTGATGATGCATGTAATGAGGCTTCAAAGGACTTGGTGGGTCTCAAAAGTGGTGCATTTGTAGTAGCTCCTGTGAGTTTCATATTAACATTATCTTAATGTTTTCTTCTTGTTTATTTATTTTTACTTTTAGTTATGCCTTTGGTGAGCTGCCTTGTTTTAACAGTGTTCCAATTGCAGTGCCCACATGATGGACCTTGTCCATTGGAGAATAGCAGCAAATATTGTCATTTTGTTCAGCGTTTAGAGAGGACATCTTCACAACGTGCATACAAGGTGAGTTCTTGTTTAGAACTATCCTATGGTAAATATGCAAGGTGAGTTCTTGTTTCAAACTTTGGCCTGAAAAAAAGTGCTTCATCATTAGTTTTTATAGGTGTCTTGTGTAATGGCCTCAACTTGCAGCAGCTATTATAATAGTGGGGTCATTGTTTGTTCTGTTGCTAAGCTTCTCTAACCTATTCTAGTGATGCTGGTATTTTGGGATTTGGGGACTTTGTATCTGATCCATACATAAGAGCTGAGTCTAGATAAAGCTATGACCATTGGTGAAACTATGAATGCTATAAGCCTGTTCTAGAACCCCCCAAGATGGTTATAAACATTGTTAGAACTTTCTTGTCTAAGTTCACAAAAGCTCTAATATAATTAGGCAAGTTTGTAGCTCAAGTCCATTTTGTCTGATCTTTATACATATTATTTGGTTCCAGTTTAATGGATTAATGAATTATTCTAACTAGTTAAAATTAAAAGGAAAAGATTAAAAAAAAGAGAGAAAAATGTGAGATCCATGATTTACTAAACGAGTATTTATGATATTGTGGCTGTATCTAGGGAACCTCTCCCTTTTCTTCAGCTTTTTTTTTGATCAATAACAGTGAAATTTTATTAATGATATAAAGTCAGGATTACAGAGGGAGATAAAAAGTCTTTACTCCAGCTACCCAAGAAACTTTCTGACCATGCAGTGATTACAAAAAAGCCCAAAATAATGTTTCTCTATTTACCCCTTGCCTAGCTAGACCATCAGCCAATGCATTTGCACTTCTCTTTATCCGTGTACATTGAATTTCCATGTCCTTGGTTAGCCACTTATACTTCCTCTTTTCATTGCTGTATTTCCACATCATAGCATTGTCCTCTTTTAGCCGTTTCACCACAGTTTCAGAATCACCTTCTATAATCACCTTTTTGATATTCATTTTCTTGACCCTTTGTATCCCTTCAATAGCTCCTAACATCTCAACCCTCAATGAGTCTCCCATCCCAATCAGTCCAGAGTACATGCTAACAAGTTCCATGTTTCATCCCTTACCACATCCCCAATTCTGGAAGGCCTTGGGTTGCCTATGCTGCTGCCATCAAAGTTCAGTTTGGTGAACCCAAGAGGTGGAGTCGTCCAGCAAGCTTTTAAGATCTTTCTACTTAAGCCTGAATCTGTAATCTCCCTCCAATTCCTTAACAGCTCAGCAACTGAGAACACTTTGAACAGTTCCAATGTTCTCAACCATTGTGTCATCCTAATGTGGATGATCTCCATGATTTCTTCCACACTTCTCTCTTTATCTGAGGAAATCCTTAAATTTCTCTCCTCCCACACTGTCCAACAAACTGCAGCTCTACCACACCTCCACATGATCTTAGCCCTTTTAGTTGGCCAATTAGGCATGGAAGATAACAAGCTTGGAACATTCAAAGGGGGGATTCACCTGCATCCAAACAGAGAATAAACCATACCCAAATAGCTTTAACAAACCAACAAGATATTAGTAAATGGTATTCAGACTCACCATCGGACTTACAGAGAACACACCAGTGAGGAGACAAGTAGCTGTTGGGTCTTTTCCTTTGGAGTAGATCCCCTGTATTAACTCTTCCTAGGAAGGATTCCCAACAAAAACTCCCAACCTTAAGAGGTATAGGTCGACACCACACTTCTTTAACAGGGAAAGAAGAACCAATAGGATGAGAGGGTAACAGTGCTTTAAAAAAGGAGGCACAAGTGTAGGAACCCGAGGGAGTGAGTGTCCAGATTATGCTATTTGTTTTATAAGGCTCAATGAATACCCCTTCAAGGATAGATAGTAAGGCTATAGTACAGGCGAACTCTGTGTCCCTTACACCTCTTCTCAAACTTAAATTCAAACCAAACACAGAAGGTGAATTGGAAGGAACAAGGAAGGATGAGACTGGTTCATTCTTGAGGGAAGAAATGGCAAAAAGGCCTGGAAATTGATCTTTCAAAGGGGAATCCCCAACCCAAACATGTTCCTAGAATTTGATAAGGTTACCAGAATGCAAATCATACTTGATCCATGGAGAGAATAAAGGCAAGATGGCTTGAATAGCTCTCCAAGGGGAAGCTCTTGTAGTCCTTGCTAGAATTCCTGAATCCCATTTGCTAGCCCATGTATACTTCCCACCACCTTAACCCACAACCTTTCTTTCTGTAATGAGAATCTCCACAACCATTTCCCTAGTAATACTAGATTCCTAGTCCTAATATTACCAACTCCCAACCCTCCTTCCTTTTTACCTATATAGACCACCTCCCACTTAACCCTATGGTTCCTCTTCTCCTCTCTCGACTCCCATAGAAAATCCCTCATTAGCTTTTCCAACCTATTAGCCACCTTAACCGATATCCTAAAAATTGATAAAAAATATATAGGAAGGTTAGCCAAAGTAGACCTGATTAAGGTGTTTCTTCATCCAAGAGAAATAGTTTCTCTTCCAGTTGGCAAGTCTCTTTTTGAATCTCTCCACAATAGGGGCCCAGAACTCACCTCTCTGAGGATTATCCCCCAGAGGTAAGCCCAGGTAGTTTAATGGCCAGTGAAACACTATACATCTCAAAATATCTACATACTCACCAATCTCCCCTTCCCCCATATTGGCTCCAACTATACAACTTTTTTCAAAGTTCACCCTAAGATTTCACATTTGTTCAAAGAGTTGTATAGAGTTTCAAATTTTTAATCCAATTGATATCCCCTCCTTCACAAAACAGAATCGTATCATCTGCAAATTGTAGATGTGTAAGTGGTACATTATCCCTTCCAACTCTCCACCTTCTTATGAGTTCCCTAGAATCTGCTTTGATTATCAATCCCCCCAACACTTCAGCTACCAATGTAAACAAGAAGGGGGATAGGGGGTCTCCTTGTCTAATCCCCCTCAAAGCTGGGAAATAGTCCACCACTGTCCCGTTCACCAAGATGGAATAATGACAATCCCTAATGCATCCCATCACCCATTTGCACTAGATGTCTCCAAACCCAAAGTTAATCATCACCTCCAATAAGAAAGACCAATCAACCAAATCATAAGCCTTTTCTAGATCTAGTTTGCTGACAACACCTCTTCTCCTGGATCTCTTGTAGTCCTCTAAACTCTCATTTGCTACAAGTATCTGATCTATTATTTGTCTCCCCCTCACAAAAGCTTCTTGATTGTTCGAAATGATAGTTGGTAGCACCTTTCTGATTCTAATTGACAGCACCTTAGTGATGATCTTATAGAGGCTGTTAACTAGACTGATTGGCCTGTAGTCCTTTGGATGGCTTGCATCACTTTTCTTGGGAACTAAAGCAATGAATGTGGAATTTAGCCCAAGGTTAATCACTCTAGTATGGAATTCATCGAATACCAACAATATATCCTCCTTTAGAATCTCCCAACAATCCTGGTAGAAAGCCATCGTAAAACCATCTGGGCCGGGTGCCTTTGATCTATCCATTGAAAATACCGCCTCTTTTATTTCTTCCAACTCAAATTTCTTTTCCAACCAATCCCTATCTTCTCTCTTCAGTGTTGGCCATTCCAAACCTTCCAACCATACTTTATTATTTAGTGACCTTCTATATATATTCCTAAAATGACTTGCAAATGCTTCTGCAATTTCTCTCTGGCTTGTGACTGTTTCCCCTTCAATTGCCAATCTAGTAATAAAATTTTTCCTCCTTCTGCCACAAGCCAAAGCATGAAAGAACTTAGTGTTCATGTCCCCCTCTTCTAACCACTTGCATCTTGACTTCTGTCTCCAGCTTATTTTCTCCTGAAAAATATAATCCTCTAACTGTTTCCACAATCTCCATCTTTGTACCTTATCCTCTTCAGTTAGGCCTTCTCTCCCTTCTTTACTGTCCAAGTCCTCAATCTGTGTGATCACATTCTGTTTTCTTTCCTCCAATCTCCCAAATTCCAGTAGATTCCATTCCTTGATTCTCCTTTTCAGATATTGGAGCTTCTTATAAGACCTCATCCCATACCACACCACCCTTCAACCTTCTTAATGAACCCCGAGTGCTCTAACCACATGTTCTCAAATCTAAATGGAGCTGGACCTGCATTTCGCACCTCCTCACAAAGTACAATAGGCCAGTGATCAGAAGTCTTCCTTGGGAGTGCTCTAGAGTTCAGATTCTCCCAATGTTCTTCTAGATCATTTGAAAGTAGGAACCTGTCCAGCTTAGAGCAAAGCTTGATAACGGGCGGGAGTTTAATGACATATTTTATCACCTTTTAAAAACAAAAACAAAGAGACTAGTCTAACTCTAAAATAGGTAATTGAAAATTGATTTGGCCGTGATTGAGTTGAGAGTTTCAATTTGCAAATTGCATGTTGGTTTACCTTTGTTTTATCTATTTTCTATCTGTTTTCAGTACATGGAATAAACCTTGTGATAGTATCATTTTTACCTTCCTCCTCTAGATATAAGAAAAACAATCAATCTAATTACCTTCTCTCTTGTCTATGTTTGATGTCCAGCGGTCCAAGGGTGAACCTTTGCGTGGATTTGAAGATGAGAAATTCTGTTTTGTTGCTCTAAGACGAGGACAACGGCCACGGCAAGTAATTTTGGACTTAACCTAGAATTGAATGTCTTCATCTCTTTCAATAAAATTCATGTACTTGTGTATCCTGTACTATAACATGGTTCACTGAGAGATATACATGCCTAGTATGCCAAATGGCTGATTGATTGCATGAGAATACAAGGCATTGCCTTAATAATCAAGAAATATAAGGTGGAATCTGGTTGTGGAAGTTCCAACTTATGTCTAGCTGGAGAATTGTTTCCTCAAATCATGTTCCCAGCTTTCTAATACTAATGATATATCTAGTGAAAAAGGAAAATTGGTCAGAATTTTTCTCCTTATATAAGTTGGTAGTTTGACACGGATACATAATGCAGATATTGCAGATCAGCCTTGTTCAGAAATATAATTACTACTTAATATGTCAAGCATGTCTGTTTTTTGCTCTATGGGGCCACACAATGCGGGCTAGACCGATCCTCAAACCCATAACCTCCACCCCGATGCAGGCAGAATTTGATCCCAAGTTTCTGCTACAACCATCCACAGACCTGATCAACCAACCAGTTGCCACCTTTCATGTCAAGCATGTCCTGAACGATCAAAAACTGGCTTCCATTTATCTGGATACTTGAAAACAACAATTTATCTTCACATTTTTATTATCCCTTTGGTAAGAGCGATTTTTTTCTTGTTGCTAAGGTTTAAAACAGATGTATTTTCCTTCTTTAGTTGAATTGGTCATGTGATACACCGGAACTGGAAGAATGATGTCCCTGCTCAGGGACTTCAATGAGTCATCTTGACCAACTTATTTCATGCATGACTGTATTTTAGACTTGAGTGTTATTCAAGTTTCTTTTCCCCTGTTTTACTTTTTACTTAATTAAGGACCTGCCAATTGTTGTAGCTCAACATAGTTGCCAAAATGTGTAATACCTTTTGATTTCTTCCTGATTTATAAATTGATATTAGCTCCTCAGACCATGCTTGTTCATCAACTACAGTTAATCCAAGGATATGCTCCGGTTGTCAGTCCATGATCATAACATGGATCACTACCATAGACATTAGCAATACATATATAGAGACTGATTAGGTTATCCTACTTGACATGAGCATATTTAAAAATAAAAAAAAGAAAGATGATTACAACAAGTATTATATCGATGTAAAATTCCATCAACTTTTTAGCTGAAGTATCAATGTCTTCTTTGCTTAGTCATAAAAAGGAGAAAGAGGAGAAAAAAGCTTGGCTTTTTTTTTCTTGATAAATGATAAGAAAGCTTGGCTGTTCATAGGGTAGCTGAGGCTACTCATATTATTGTAAATCTTTCTTCTAATTAATAAAAGATTTTTCTGTTGCTGATCCAAAAAAAAAAAGCTTGGCTGTTGAAAGCTGACTCTATTTATATTTTGGTTTTGGTTGATCATTTTGTAACAGGGAGCCTTGGCCACTTGATGGCATGAAATTTGATACTTTGAAGGAACAACACGCTAAACGTAATCCTGAAGATCTTGAGATTGACTTTGGTATGTGCCTGTTTCATGTCAATTGCTAGTCTTCTCTTTAATCTTCAGGTTATCACATCTCTCTCTCTCTCTCTCTCTGGATTGTCAAAATGAGTGAATGAAGTATGGATGCATGCTAACCCTGCATACTATTCATGTCATGACAGAGGACCAATTCGAGTCAGAGGATGAGGATATTCCATACGAAGAAGACCCAGTTTCTTATGACTCAGATATTACAGAGGTAGATGCGATAGATGAACATGAAGAGGAGGAAGATCAGGAAGCAGCCCATGCTGATCTAGGGAGTGGTTGGGGCCGGATTATTTTCACTCCTGTTCGGAGGGGCAAACAAGTGGCAATGGATGTCTGTCGATCGACCAAACGTGATGGCTCAGAGGGGTCCTTTGAGCGTGTGGTCATCACACGGAGTAAGAATCCTACCCTACATCGACAGGCTCGTAGGTCTCTTTGGGGTGATCTATGGCCCTTCTAGGTGTAATGTTCTCTGTTGTTGATGGCTGTCCAATGTGTGGAAATGTGATGTAAAAGCCAAGTACCGATAGTTTATTGTTCTGAAGCTAATTGAAGTTGATATTTTGGTCAGTTCTTTTGTTTATTGTACATCTCATGAGTCATGACATTAGACAGTCGTATGATTGCGATGTTTTGTACTTGTTTATTTATTAATTTATCAATGAAAAAAGAGGGAATTGACAGCTTGTCGAGTGGTTACTTTTGTCAATTTGGTCCAAATATCCAATTGACGGAAAACCGTTTTTTGTTACTGGATCACGGGTTGAGTGGTTACTGACCTGTTCGACCATTCAATTTGGCCCAATTAAAAAATTTAAAGCATAATAAAAGTTAGAAAATTGTTACAGATGATCTTTTAAAGTTACTTTTCGTCAAAATAAACTTAAGCAAACGTTGCACTAAACTTTGGCTGTTTGGGACATGGGAGCATGGCAATGACTCTTTTCTATCCCATTTCATGTGCAGGTAGCTTTCAAACAGTTTACAGTTTACCTTTCAGTATCTTGTCCTCACAGCCGCATAGATTTTTTTTTTTTTTAGAATTTATATTTATTATTAATAGTTTAATACATTTGTTTTTAGGGATGGTAATTTTACCCTACCCGGTGGGTATCTGCCCCCTATTCACCTCAACGGGAGTTTTTTTTTTTTTTTTGTTTGAAGGACAGGTTTAAGATTCTACAACCTATGGGTAGATTTGTATTAGGTTAAATCCAACCCTCCTTAACCTGCATATTATTAGAAAGTATATAAATTTTATATATTAGGTGTTGAGTTTAATAATATTTTGATTTTTATGTGTAGAATAATTAGTAGTTTATGTGTTTTTTATATGGCTTAATCAAATAATTGAAAATTTTGTTATTTATTTGTGTTATTCTACTTATTTATTGCTTATATATAATAAAAAGTAATAAAAAATTACAATCTGCCTTGCCATTGAATGTGGGAAGAGTTTTGCATTTTCATGTGCGGGAGAGGGTTTTGATTCTCAAAATCCAACTTGTTGTGGATTTTGGGGCAGATATGGATTGGGAGGTTAGGGAGGTGGGTAGAATCTATAATTTACAAAACCTGTCCCATTGCCTTCCCTACATTTTGGATAAGTTTGTTTAACCAAATCCAACTTTTAAGACCCAGGCAGTCTAACTAATGGTGGCTCAATTGTTAACTTGGGATCAAAACTCGCAAGAAAGGTTTAGCTGAATGCTTTGTTCAGCGGGTTGTGGAACCAATGATAAGGTTCCATTGCCAGTATTAAATATATGGGGCTTGCATATTTTTACAGTGGGGCCCATCAATTTATTAATGGCGTGGAACTTCATCATTGGTTAAAGCATTCAGCTAATCCGAATTCAAATCTCGCTACCACTCCACTGGGGTAGGGGTGTCAATTGTTATGGATTTGGTCCAATCCGATCTAATCCAATGTGAATCCATTATAAATGGACTAGGTCCAATTCAATCCAATAAATATTTTGGACTGGTTTAATTCAATGTCTGGACCGTCCAATTTATTCAAATTCGTTTTTGATTTAGATTGGTTTCAATCCAAATTCGATCCATTGACACCTATATTCTTATCTTTTATCAATGGACAAGATATTGACTTAATCAAACACAGTCCAATATAAATGTATTACGTTCAGATCAGGCCCAATCCAGTCCAACCCAATCTAATAAATATTTTGGATCGGATTAGTCCAATCCGATGTGTCTTATTGGTTCATCCAACCCATCCAAATTGATTTTGGACGGGACGGGGTCCAATCCAAAACCGGTCCATTGACACCCTTACGTTGGGGTAGGGGGTCTAGGCCTGAAGGAGATGGGAGATGGGCTACCCTTGCCCTATTGTGTAGAATTTGGATTTCCAAACTCCAATGGAATGAAAACATACAAGCATGATAGATGTTCCCCCGACATGCGGTTGCAACATGCTATGATATGTGTGCGAGGACCCTATTTTGGATTACAGATTTCCTCAGAAAATTGGTCTTTACACCCCACTTAACTGCATTCATTGGGAACATCTCCTGATACAAGAAAGCATACAAATAGAGAGATGCCGCTGTGAGGATCAATTCTCTGAATGGTGAGGAAATCTGAAACCCCAATAGAATCCGGATTTCATCCTGACAGAATGGTCCTTGCACCACTCACACCCACTTCAATCCGGTTTCGATTGTGTAGCCCCATGAAAAAACAGTAAAACCCACAAACCAAACGAAAAAAAAAAATAAAAACAAAATCTGCTACTTTCAAAATGCTTAATTTTCCCTGACTATCTATCATCATTCATATTTTTTGTATAGGGAATAACATGTGACTCTCCGACTCGTTGTCATGGAGATTGGAGAGCCCTCGTACCCTGAAAACAGAAGAAAAATAAAAAATAAAAAACTGAGAGAGCCTCTTTAATCGGATTGGATTGTTGGACTTTGGTGATCCAATTGCAGGAAGGAATCAAGGAATGAAGGTTGGCATAGCTAGGACTAGGAAATAGGAATATGCAAAGGTACACCCTTACCAGTTACCAATTAAATGGAATTACAGCTAGAGTTGGACCCTTTTCCCAAATACGGAAACTGAGCATGCATGTACAGCAGCCAGACCAATCTCTCCACATTGACAGTAGCTTTCTCTTCTTTTGTCCATTCTCTGTGAACTGTGGAGTGTGGACGATGGTCGATCGAGCACTGTTTATTATATCTTGTTCACTTTGAATGGGTAATTAACTCAAACACTTGGTAGGATTTATGCGCTACATAACACCTGCATGTGAAGACAAAGTTGAACCCATATTAATTAACTAATTTCCACGAAAACATTTACGTACAGAGAGGGAAAACCCATTAGTATTTGATAAAGGGGCACTCCCTATTCATGAAGAAGAAGAAGAAAATGTTTAATTAAAAGACAAAAGCAACTTATTGCATGTTTTGATCTTCATTTTGGGTTATCAGTTGTGATCCGGCTAGCTCTCTTTCTTTTGGCTTGGGTTGCACCGCAAGTCTGCAACTGCATGCATAAAGATCCTTGACGACTGAGAAACTACAAAGGTACGATACACACAACACTTTACGATTACTCCAAGGATGGTGGGCTCATGTGGTATCATGACTCCATAGTGGGTCCATCACCCAAAGGTTGGAAATTTGCAGACTGCTCAAACTCAACCATGTGTGCAACTACTGATCACTGATCCAAGTCTCCATGATCATATCATGCTCCATCATCCATTTCCAACTTCTTGTCTGGTTAAGGGTGTATCTTAGAACGGCGACGGATCGTGTCAGTCCGGTCTGGTGAAGTGGTAGAGTTAGAGAGAAAGCCTTCCCGGCTATCAAATAAGAAATAATAACTCTCATCATTTAATAGCAAAAAAGAAGTTGAACTCTCTCCCTCTCGCATGCACTTTGAAGTTCTAACTAGTAGTAGAATCTTTTATCCACGTGGCTAATTAGCTGGTTGCACGCGTAGCGGAATTAACAGTGGTAAAATTTGAGATTACCAACATCCTTCCTTACCCTAGAAGAATTTGTAACCATGTAATGTTTGAAGCTGATTTTAAGGCTTTTGTTTTCCTAAAAAAAGAAAAGGGTGGGGCTGGAAAGGTGTGGACCGACCTTCTTATGATTGACTTGAAGAGTGTGTCTAAGGAAAGGAAAGTAAAGCAAAGCAAAGTAGAGATAGACCTTTCTCCCGGTTATCTTTTATGATGTTTATGTCTATGTTTTGTACAAGTGTTTTTAATTTCTATGTGATTGTTAACGCTAGGTTTCCTTTGAGAGCTTCCATATAACACTCAAAAAGACGTGGGATTCACCTCTTTTTCTTATAATTAGTAATATTGCTACATGTCTCTTTTAAGTTAGGTATATAATTGCAGCTTAGCTAGCTTTGTCGTGGGGAGGTTGTTAGACCGTGTATATCCTTAACTCCAATCAGATTGCTGTACATTTGACATTTATTATAAATGAACAATAGTACATAATTGATTCATGTTATATCTAGTGTATTTCTATGTAATTACTCTTAAATTGGACATTTATGAGACTTGTGTTAGTTTAAAATGTTCTAAGCCGTTGGATAGACTTGGGAAAATTTATCCTGTTAAGGCTTACACTAATGTACTGCCAAGTTAGTTGGGGTGGCTTGTCTCAGTTGTCATGGTCAGACTCGAAACACATGTAGTGTGCGTTTGTTTGAAACACTGAACCCAAATCAATTTTCAGTTATGCCCTGGACCTTAGAGACTGATGGGCAAAACTGGAAAGTTACACCTAGCCCCTAGACTCGATTATGGTACTACACTGGGTGTTGGATTGGGTTGTCTTTGATATGCCAATCGGTGAGATCCTTTGGGGGTCAAAACATGGGTATGTTGGGACAGTCTGAGAATTCACTTGAATGGGTGATTATAGTGACAGAATCAACCCCTTTGTTGGACAAAGTGAATGATCGGGGATTGCACTCTCTCTGATAGAAACCTAAACTGCCGACAGTTGATTTCAAACTTGTTTGAGATTTGTTTTGCAAAATATATTTATATAAAGATATATGTATATTATGTTTTATGAAAAATGTTTGCAAAATATTTTAATTCATAGGATTCATCCGAGTAGAGAGTGCAACTCTGTACCTTGCAATCGAGAGAGAGGTTATCTCTTGTCAGACAGTGTTTGATCATTAAGGGCTGAGAAGTTAAGTGTAAGACCATTTAGGGCTTTTATACCTGATGGGTTATATCTCACTTAAATCCATTGTCTTTGGGCCTTAATAGGATGGTTGGACCTATGGACTATTTAGTTTAAATGCTGGGCCCATTAAGAGCGCATAGTGATGGACTTAGGGGTTCACTGCATCAGTAGTGAATTCGGCCAGGCTTTGTTACAAAAGCTGGGTAAACCCATTGGACTTTTATGGGGTCAATGTTAGGATCCCGCACCATACAAAGAGAGCCAAGTTAGCCAGCAATTAATAAATGGACGTGAGCCACCTACTTAATGGGCCTAAAGCCCAAAGAGTAATTTGATTAATCAATATGGACGAATCTGGGTTTTGATCAATAGATAAGGATAAAAGGATAAGTCTTATCCACTTAAAGAGTCTAGATTCAAATAAAGATTTGGATTAGGAAACTCCTAATTAGATTATGAGATCATCTCTTTAAAGGTTATAAAAAGGGGAGGGCGAATTCTCCAGTTTACAACACTGTTCTCAGTTCTCTCTCTCCCTTTTGCTCTTGCTGCTCTAATCTTTATTCGATTTCCATTCTTGAGCTGATAAAGATCAGTTCTTGGTTTTGATTTTTGCAAGAAAACATCAAAACAAATTCGTGCTCACCTCCCTTGCTCAATCCAAGTTGTTGGGTTGCAGTTATTGTTGAAGGACTGCATTGCTGAACTTGTTTTATCTCAAGCTACGCCATTTTCAGTGGAGGCGGGTTTTGGTACCCTCTTTGGGCGTGAACACCTACGTTGGGAGCTATACGTGTGGATTCCGTATCAGGTATTACTCTCCCTTTCTTTTGGTTTTAGATCTGGTCCGGTTTGGTACAAGAACGATCATTGAAAAATGCAGTTTTTTTCTAAAACTAGGAATAGGATTCCTAGAAGGGAGAAAAAAAATTTGAAAATTTGCCCAACCACCCTACAAGGTGGTTGAAAAATGCAGTTACTCTCCCTTAGAAGGACTGAGCTAACTACTTCGTCACTCGCAGAGAGGTAAAGTTTAAGCTCGTCTCCAGCCTCAGACATGGTCAGCAGGGGTGGCAAGTTGAGACTGTTTTAGCTTGTCAAACACGAGCTGGCACTCCTCAGTCCACTCAAAGTCTTGGTTTTTCTTTATAACTTTGAAGAAGGGAAAACACTTCCCAACCAATTTGGACATAAATTGGTTCAAAGTTGCTACTCGTTCTATCAGTTTTTGGGTTTCTTTAACCGAGCTAGGCGGTCTCATGTCTAGTATAGCCTGGATTTTCTTGGGATTGGCCTCTATGCCTCGCTGGCTAACAAGGTTTAAATCAGAAATCAAATTCTTTGAAATAAGTGTTTTTACAACAATATCATCCATGTAACATTCCACTTTATCACCCATTAAATCAGAAAAAATAGAGTTGACTAAGTGCTGGAAGGTCACCCCATCTTTTTTTTAAACCAAAAGGCATGACCTTGTTGCAATACAAGCCTATTTCAGTAATGAAGGCGATCTTTTCTTGGTCTTTCGGATCTATTAGGATCTGGTTATATCCCGAGTAAGCGTCCATGAAACTGAGTAGCTCAAATCCTGAGGTCACATCCACCAGACGATCTATGCTAGGTAGGGGAAAGCTGTCTTTTGGGAAAGCTTGTTTCAGGTCCATAAAGTCGATGCACATCCGCCACTTGCCATTTGCCTTCTTTACCAAGACTGGATTTGCTATTCAGCTCGAGTATTGGACTTCTTTTGTGAAGTCCGTTGCTAGCAACTTTCCCAGTTCCTCGTGCACTATGTTCCAGCTTTCCGGGGTGAGGTTTTTCTTCCTCTGCTGGATGGGTCTAATTGTAGGGTCAACATTAATCTTACGAGTTATCAGACTAGAATCTATTCCAAGCATCTCAGTTGCTGACTAGGCGAAAGCATCTAAATTATTTAACAAGAAACTTACTAGTTTTGATCGTAGCGGTTCTTTCAGGCGAGCTCTGATCTGGAGCATTTTCTTAGGCGAGCTCTGATCTACGAGCTCTGATCGTAGTGGTTCTCCGACGGTGGTTCTAGGTTGATATCTGTGGCAATCTTACCCTTAGCTTTCAAGTACGCTATGTAGCACTTCCTGGATTCTAGTTGGTTTCCCCATAGCATGCCTATACCTGTTTCCATCAAGAACTTTAGTGCGAGGCGGTATGTTGAAACCACAGCTTGCAATGCATGTAAAATGGGTCGCCCCAAGATTGCGTTGTATAGTGAGGAAGTGGCGACCACTAGAAAACCATGTTCGAAGCACGCCGTGTGGGGTGGCAAGGCCGCCTCAACTAGCAGCACTCTTACCTTACCAATAGGGCGAACTACCTCACCACTAAATCCTGGTATGTCCATAGGCTTTAGGTCGGTTTTGCTGAGTTCCATTCTTTTGAAGGCTTTTGCAAACAAAATGTCTGTCGAGCTACCTGAATCCACTAAAATCCTCTTCACCCTGAAATCGTTTATTAACAATTTCACCACCAGGGCGTCGTCATGTGGGTATTGAATTATGTGCATGTCATCCTCTGTAAAGTATATTATTTCCTCCTTTTGGGGGTGCTTGGTTGGTTGGCTGTCCTCCTGCTCTAATTCTCTTACCGCATTCCTTCCATCTGATGTGGTGTAGCCTGCTACTACTGAGCCACCAATAATCACGTTTATGGTCCCGCAGACCTGCCTTTCTTGTGTTTGCTGACTCTAGGGAGCCTGTTCCTATTGTTTGCTGGTCTGTGGCGCTTCCCTACTCGTCCCTGCTTCAACTTGTTGTTCATCCTTGATGAAGCACCTTAGATAGCCTCTTTTAATGAGGTCCTCTATTTCGTTCTTCAAATTCCAACAATGCTCAGTGTTGTGTCCAATGTTTTTTGTGAAAATGACAGTACTTATTTCGATTTCGGATGGTGGGGTCCCCCCCTCATCTTAGGAGGCCATTTCACATAGTCATTGGATTGTATTTGCATCAAGATCTCCTTCATCTTGGCATTCAATGGGGTAAACGTCTTGGTGTACGATGGTGGAGACACTGGTTGTCTGCTTGTCCCCCTTATCGGCGACTTCCTTGGTGCGACCTACTTCTTCTTGGTGACTTATTTCTCCTCCTAGTTCTTCTTGTGCTACCTCTGTTTTCAGTTTTTTTCCTTTTTCTAGCTTGATCACACTTGATCCCACAACTTCTTTCGCTTTGATGAACCGATTTGCAACGTCAAGAAATTTGTCCATCGTGACTGGTGGATTTAACTTGAGCTCCCACTTAAGCTTGCGATGTTTCACTCCCTTATTTGTTGCTATGAGCTGTATGGTGGGATCTAGGCCTAGGGTTTGCAGACGCTCCATATTGAACCTCCTAATGTACTCCCTGAGAGTTTCGTTTGGTTTTTGGACAACGCTGAATAAGTAGGTCGCTGACTTGGAGCATCTCTTGCTAATTGCGAATTGGTTGATAAAGAGCTTGACGAACTGATCCCAATTCTTTATGGAGCCTGGGGTTAGTCTAGAGTACCAAAGCCAAGCCTCTTCCTTCAGTGTCATGGGGAACGCAATGCACATGCTATCGTCGTTTTCCCCATGGAGGAGCATAAGGGCTTGAAAGCTACTTGCGTGATCTACTGAATCTGTCTTACCCTTGTCGGACTCTAAGTTGGAGCTCAAAAATTCCGAGCTTTTAAGATTTCAGGGGCCAATGGGGTTTCGCGCGTCAAGCTGTGTGGTTCAAAAAGAGAAACTAACTTGCTAGTTGTGACGATGTTTTCCCCATGTTGAGATTCACTACTAGCACGGGCGAGCTGGATCTTCCTTCCAGCGCGATATGTACGTTTCCTGTTCTTTTTCTTAGTAGCTTCAGTTGAACTGGTAATGTCAGTCTCAACTGGAGCCTCAGATCGGCTCTCCGTTGGGACCTGACCATGTCGAACTGCTGCATTAGCATTCTCTTGATCATTGTACCTATCCAGGACTTGAATCTGACTGCGAATTTGCGGACGAGGTGCGTCTTCCTGGTTCAAGTCACCATCTCGAGGTGGTATTTGCTAACTATTCCTAGGTGCTTCCTGGTTGCATGTGGGACTTTCTGGCTGTTTAGCTGCTGCTGTTGACTATTTTTGGGCATCTGTTGGCTGCTCTGCTGCACCTACGAGAATTGTGATTGTTGGTGTTGCTGTTGTTCTGGTCACTGCTGCTGCTGTTGTCCGATGATAAAGGCGAATCGGTTCTCCCATGATCTGAGTTGTTCAGCCATGACCTGTATGCATCTTACCATATCATTGAACTGCTGAATGTCGACTACCGCCGGGGCTGCTATAGGATCCGTGGCTGGAGGTGGCATGTTGGTGTTGTCTTGCACTCCGGCCGGTGGTAAAGGAACATCGATCTGACCAATTGTGATGGTCGGGATTTGGCCATTGATATTGTTATTTGCAGAGGAATTGTTTGAAGATGCCATCGGAAATGGTTTTCCTAGAGAAAGAATAATAGAATAAAAGAAGGGAACACTATCTTTTCGCTGTGTTTCCCACAGATGGCGCCAATTGGTGACGTGCAATTTGCTCACTCCCTCGTGTATGATGACTGGGCTCAAACTGGGTCTGACCTGGCGGTGCCGAGCTGTACTCTGTGCGTCCAAGCTAGGTGAAGTGCTGTAAAGAAAGAAAGGTTAGAGTGCCTAGGGAGGTTTTACCTAGGAGAATACTCCGATGCTTAAGTCAAAATGGGGTTTTCTTGGAGAACGTATAAGAGAGTTCAAGAGCTTTAGTGCACATACCTTTCAAAGTGATCTTGGGGTCTTTTTATAGCCATCTGAGGTTTAGGTGCCCTTAGGCAATGTCTCTGAGTTTTCTTCGGAGCTGTTTTCGTAGTTTGGGGTGTGCTGGATTATTAGTTGTTAGATTCGTATGGCGGTTACAGGTCACCCCCGGGTCTTGTGGCGTACGGTTCAGTGAGCTGTTCCTGTGGTCGTGGTAATGGTGTTCATGAGGGCACGTCATGCAAAACGGTTTTGAACGAATTGATGTTGGGGCGAGCTCGGCCGCACACCTGATGTTGGTTGCCATGTGTTGGTTTATCAAGCTATCTTGCTGAGTTGAACGTTATGTTGTTGACAACATCCACATGTCAGTAGTTACGCGAGGTGACCAAAATGCCCCTCATCAGTTTAGGTTGATAAATTTGAGTTTGACATCAGTTTGGGTTTTAGGTTAGAGTTCATATTTTGGGTTGATTTCAAGTGGCCTTTAACCTGATCTAATCCATCTAATTTATACCTTTTATTTATTAGAGAGACTCAAAAGGGGTTGAGATGGAGAGGAGAAATTTAATGGATAGGGGAGATGTTACAATGAATGAGTTCTTGGGGGTAGGGGTGCCCATGAAAATTAATATTGTTGAAATGTTATTATGGACCTTTATTTGTTTGTTGGTGATGAAATATTAATTGACCGCTTTCTTTGATTGGAAAGAAGAAGAAACTTTTCTTTTGCATGAAAATTACAATAAAAACCAAAAAACTGATCAACTGAACCGGTTAGCGGGTTAATTTAATTCGGATATTTCCTAACAAAAAGTTTCGGGTAGAAAAATAGAGCAAAATATGCCCTCTAATAACTAATAATCTTGGCCAAAGATTTTATTTGTTATTAATCAATAATTATAAACAAACACTATAAAACAATTGATTTTACTACTTTTGGTTCTCAGGTTTGATTCTAGATTTCTTTATATATACTGTTACTGGTACGAGGTTGGTTCTATATGATTTGTATGGAGAAAGTTTTTAGAATTATTATAATGATAATTATATTGCACGTTATGTATTGGAATTTGTATCAACACTCCTTTATATATTAGTTTTTTTTTTTCAAAATAGGTTCAGGGGGTTGGTTAAAGGCTTGGTTACACCCAGATCTCACCCCGAAACTCTTAATATTTCGCGTATCGGCTGATACGAGACAAAATGTGATTAAATTTTGAATCTTACTGGTTAATTAGAAGACTATAACTAATGTTCTTTATGAGTTTATTATTATTTAATTTTTAAATTCTACCCAATTTCATTTTCTTTTTTCTCTAAGAATATTGCCACGATTTGAATTTTGATATATTCACCAAATTTAGAATGTTCTAGCAAGTAGCAAATGTATAGTTTCATTATATTGCTAATCGATCTGAGCTCAAATATATTGTTTTATTATATATCATATTTATTTATTTATTTATTCCCCTTAGTTTAATGAGAATGGGCAATTTTGATGTATTTTTTGTGGTAACAGCCAAGGCAAGTATTGAGCTCAAGCTTGAATTCGAGTTCAAATTCAAAGTCTAAGTAAGCTTTGCTCACTAGACACTATAAAGCTAGACTTGAGTCTATAGTTGAAATATTTGAGCTTGAGTGGAATTGAATTTGACCTAGTATTATTTCTAATCAAATCGAGCTCGAATTCAAACTTTTTATTTTTCTGCTGAATTGAGCTCGAATAATCTAATGTCCCAATTTCATTTATTGCTTAAGCCATTCCATGTGAGCTTCTGAACTTCCAACTTTTCAAAGGGGACCTTTGGTTGATCACAATTTTAATTCTCCCATGCCTTGTCCCCTTCCTATTTAGGATTCCATCCTTACACTCTATATTTTAAAACAAGTACGTATCTCTCTCCACACACCCCAATTATTCACATGGGAATTGGGATCTTCTCCTCACAATAACTTTACAGGCACATCCAACCATGCATTGAAAAGATGTTTCTAATTCACAGTGGGATGTATCTGTGAAATCGGTGTGAAGCGCCATGTGTGAGGAGCAGATCCGGTCTCCTCACATGGGTGCTGCACAACCGCAAACAGACATGTAAACACACACAACTTCCTACATTTGTGGGTTGGGTGAGATTGATGAGGATCAACTAAAGACTCGTTCCAATCACAAACTAGCAATATGAGAGCTGGTAGGGATGGAATAATGAGACAGTTGCAACAGTGGCTTCCATTCCTCCTTTATTGTAACATGCACCAAACCCTAACTGCTCGAGTCATTTAAGCATGCATTATTTCCACCAGACTGTGGCCCCACTTAGGGTCTCAATTAGGTAATAAGATGACAACATGCCAGCTATACGTTGGTTACTCTCTAATTTTGATTGGAGAGAGAAAGAGAGCACATCATATTTCTGCCTCACAACGCCCCACGGCACATCACATCACCACCGTGTATTGGAAATATCTTTTTATAATGATATCATTGAAAGATGTTTCCAATGTACGACAGGATGTGCTGTGGGGCGGCTGGGCAGAGAAGTAATCGAGAGAGAGAGAGATCTTTGATATATAATGTGCAGTAATATGCATGAAATGTTGATCAAAGGAAAAACAACATTAGGTAATTAATTAAGAAATCAACGAGATATGTGAAATGTTAGGCAGTGTGGGAAGAAGAGTGTGCAGCATTAGCAGAGGAGTTGGTCTCCTTTTTCTCCATCTTCTCTCGAAGGAACCTTCTCATAATCTTGCCTGAGGGTGATTTAGGTATGGAATCCACGAAGTGAACCAGCCTCACCTTCTTATAAGAGGCTACGTTAGATGCAACATAGTTCATGATCTCTTCTTCACTCTCCTTTGCATTTGGATTCATTACAACACAGGCAGCTGGAATTTCCCCAGCATCTTCATCAGGCAACCTGCGTTTAATAAACACCCAGAAATCTGATGATGAGGATGATGAAATCTTTAATTAATCATTAAGTAAAGTATGAAAGTATGCAATAAAAACAACTAACTAATACTGCCCCCACTCCCACTCAAAGTTTTGACAGTAAAGCTGTGTTTGGTTTGAAAAAAAGAAACACCAAAAGGCGATGGAGATAAAAAGTTGGGAGGGAAAGTTCTCAAAACAAAGTACCAAATATAGCCTAACATTTTATCTTTCTCCTTGCTTTCTCCCAAACAAACTTTCTCCTTGCTTTCTCCATTCTCTTTCATATGTGGAGTACATAATTTTACTTCCTATTTTAGTATTTTACTCCACACAAATAAAACAATAAAAGGCATAAAATCAAAACTGAAGCAAAAGCAAATCAGAAGTTACACTCAGCTCATTGGCATTATAATTACAAGTTTCTATTGCTACTGCATATACTAGGAGGTTAAGGCTTGGAACTGTTAAGACAATTTTTTTTTTTCAATGCCACAACTGTGGAATTAAAGTAAACCAACTGATAATAATTATTTCAAAAGCATATTGTATTTCACAAATGTTATATTTGTATCAAGGCAGAAAGTAGAGGTTGGGGTTGGAAATCTATAAATTCTCAGATTTTAGTATCTGGGTTCAACGCCGTTGCCGTAGAAAACTAAAATTCGAAACCCAATGGATTTTAGGTCTTCCCTAGTTTTTGCACATCTCAATGTTCTAGGGGGCAGGATTCACTTCAAAATTCAAATCCGTGGATTTGAGATTTTGGGTCATAACTCAGAAGCGGGATTCTTCCTTCCACCCATTTCCACTCTCACAGTCACTGTTCAAATTCAATACTATTCGATTTTTGGTTGGTAAACGTTAAGCCTACACTCGTTCTTATTTCTTACTGCCTGTTTCTTCACTTCTTGTCCTTAGAATACTCTAGTTCAGGCCAGCCTATCCACAAATATTCACAGACCTTTTTCTTGGATGAAATCAGGATCCGTTTGATTTATAGTTGGAGTATTCGGAGTTCAAATTTCTATCAAAATCGGAATGGTCTATTCCTATAATCTATCTGATTCAGACAGAAATTAAAATAAGAAAGAATTAAAATTAGTTGGAATGAGATTTCATTCCCAAGGAGGAGGGGGAGGGAATGACCATCCCACTAAGAATAAGAATTGGATTCTAATTCCGCCCAACTAAAAAATTGGTTTCAATTCCAATTCCATTTCTCTATTACTACAAACCAAACAGACCCTAAATTGTTGAAATCAGAAACCTGTCCATGGGTAGAACTGTAGAAGGTAGGGGGACCCTTTGGAACCCCAACTAAGCTACCACCTACTAGATTCCTACATCATTTGTGTCCTCTAAATAGCTCATCATCTAACAAATTTGCTCCTAACAACAACAATATCATTATGACAAGGACAGAAAAAGTAACAAAGATGAATATACTCACGGGAACACTGCTGCATCTTCAACCGAAGGATGAGAAAGGAGAATGGCTTCTAGCTCTGCAGGAGGTACCTGCAAGTCGAATGGGAACATTTTTAACTCAGAAGCAATTCCCAAAGTAAAATGTAATTTAACTTCTCTATAGATGTAAAAAAGCAATTCCAACCCAATTTCCTACTTGGGTCAGTCATGTAGAGTTATGCCCTACAAAGCCTCCCCCATTTCTATTATGGGGATGGGCGGTGTTGTGGATCCAAAGCAGTCACCAAGCAGGGGACCCTCTGGATTGGCTGCATGTTTAGTCCTCCAACCCATATGCCATATACCAACCATGTATTAGGTGGCTTTCCCAACAGACAACATTAACATTTTAAGATCTGCCCATAAAAGAGGCTTCATTTGCAGAGAGGAGGATCTCTTGGAACGGAGTAATATACTCCAAACCCATTTATCAAAAAATCTATAGGTCGTTTAAGGGTTTCCCAAAATAGCTTGAATAGCAAATCCATTCCCATAAACATACAATCATGCACATGTATTGAAAATTGAAAGCAACGTTTTAAAAAACGACCCAGAAATGGAATCGTTCTGGCCACTGGTTTTTGGGTTGATAGTCCGACCGTTTGATTCAAATGGACGGTTCATTCTGACAAACAAATTAAAAATAAAAAAAACAGCCAAAAACTGTTGAACAGATCGACAGGTCAACGGTTTAACCACTCAGATCAACGGGTTATTGACTTTTTCAATGCTTTTTTATAAAAAATCAGGTTTTGAATAAAATAGAACCAATTGCCTAGATGGTTCCTAAGCCAAACGGTCTGACTATCCGAATCAACGGCAGTTCAAAAACCTTGATTGAAAGATAAGAAAATCCACGATTCCCAGGGCAAACGGTCCGACTATAAAAAATCAGGTTTTGAATAAAATAGAACCAATTGCCTATATTCCATTCTCATAAGTGTATTTTTTGAGGCTTTCTTTGTTCTTCTCATTTATTGTTGCTGAAATTTACTGAAACAAACTTTAATTTATTATTTGTTTGGATAAACGATCATCAAACAATTACCCTTCCTTGTTATATTGTCCTCTGGTTAGTCCTATGGTTTAGCTTTTTAAGACGTTAGGTGATACTCATTATTGCCCTTGACAAATTTGCATCTCTCATATGCATGCCCATATGCAATAATAAATATTTGGACATGACATAAATTAGGGTTTAGTGTTGATGTGGACAAAAGGATTCTTTCAAATGTCAAAAGGAGGGGTGAATATCTAACAGGTTTCTCCGTATGGGCTGCATTTTGTCCATGAAAACGAAGTTTTGGTCGTAAAAGAGGCACAAATATTTACTATTTACTGTAGTTTTGTAGATTGAAATGCTTTTCTACTTGCTTGGTGGTGAAACAAATAGAATACTTTGACAAATAAGCCGCGGAGGAACATGTGGACCCATTTGGGCCCAAATCATATTTGCACTTGAGAAAGAAGTACAAATACAAATATGTACATAGAGTGTAAAATCTTATATTTTGTATTATTTTATATATATTTATATTGTATATATTTGTATTTATACTTTTTTCAAACACTTTTCATCTCCTTCTTCAGGAATTTTCTTTTTTTGTTGTTGTTGTTTGAGGGGAATTAAACAAGAAAGTGAAATAGGGAGTACAAGAGGTAAGGGTTTAAAGAAAAATGGGGTGGAAATGTTTGGGTCTATTATAGATTTTTTTAAAGAAAAATAAATAATTTTTTTTTTTAATTTTAGGAATTAGAAGAGTATTATAGAGTGATCCTCCACTTACTAGCTATGTAAATGAAAGTTTGGGGGAGCCAAGGAGCCCCCACCAATATACTTGGCTCTGCCCTGGCCCAGAAGATGAAAAGTGTTTTGATTTGTTTTACAAAATCAGAATTTTCGTAAACCCGATCATTGTCATTGCAGAATTCTAGTTTTTTGAATTGTTTGTCATACATTACCCAAGTGTTAAACCTGTTGGAAAAAGTTATCTGTTACAAGTTGAAAGGGTTAAAAGAATTAGGGGTAGATTGAAAGTAACTTAGGCGAAAGTGACAAGAAATGATTTAAGCATCTATAATTTAACAATGGATATGAAAGTGATGGTGGAGCTAGGAAATTTTTATGAGGGGGGCCAAAACTTAAGGTAGATTGGGATGAGGGGGATGAAGAATAAATATGGATGGTCGTAGGGGGGGCCAACCCATTGGGGCGTGGAGTGGGGAGGGGAAATTTTATATAGAATAGTAGGGATTTTTTGGGCCATAGGGGGGCCATGGCTCCCCTGAGTCCCCCCTGGCTCCGCCCCTGACTCTATCCACCTTGAATTGCAGCCACACATTGCCATCTTGTATTCCGTTGAAATTGGAATGAGCATGGTTTATTCCCATAGTCTGATTGGTTCAGATAGGAATCAGAATGGGATTTGAAATCAACTGGAGTGGAATTTCATTCCCAAGGGAGGGGAAGGGAATGATCATTCCCTCAAATGGAGAAATGCCATTTCACCAAGAACGGGAATAGAATTTCAATTCTATCCAACCAAACAGTTGGAATTGAAACAACCCATTCCAATTTTGATTCCAGACTCCTATTCCCATAAACCAAACGGGCCCTTAACACATTCAAACTTTTGTGATCCATTTGACAGATAAATATAAAAAGTCCAAATATAAGACGGTATCTTACTTGAAAGCCCTTGTACTTGATCAGCTCCTTTATGCGATCCACGATAAATACATCCCCATCTTCGTCTATGTACCCAACATCTCCTGTATGAAGCCATCCTTCTGCGTCGATTGTCCGTTCTGTCTCCTCCTCCCTTTTATAGTAACCTGCATCCATACTTCACTTCACTTCACTAAATAGGAGTGTGGGACTCTCTCAACCACAATTGTTCTATTTGTTACAGCTTGCAACTAGGAGTCTGCTCTCTAACCGGCATGGTTATAGACAGGGTCACATGTAGTGGTTGGCCCGCTGGTTGGTCCATTCGGACCACTTTCACTTAGTCCTGGACCCTGGTTGCGGGTCCTTGACGGTCTGACCGGTTCAGTTTCTAGTAAGATGAGAGTGGCCATTTGATCTTGGATCACATCACATGTATAAGGTATTGTTTGTAGTGGCTTACCTTGCATTACACATTGGCTTCTGACACAGACTTCACCGGGGATGTTTACGGGGAGTGACAGGCCGCTGTTGGGATCAATGAACTTCATCTCCAGGTTTGGGAGAATGAATCCCACCGAGTTTCTCTTTGCTATGCTGTGGCCTTTGTTAGGATCTCCATGGGTAAGCGTAATGCAGCTGTGCTCTGTCAGTCCATAGGCCTAATGGTAATGAAGCACACATTCCAACAAAGCAACCATCTCCATTAGAACCATCATGCATGAATGTAACCCATCTCTCTCTGGGCAGGCTGGGTCGGGTTTAAGTTCAATCGGGCCTAAGTCTCTAGTCCAGCCTAAACCTAAGATCAAGTCTGACATTTTAACCTGAGCCCAGCCCATACAGAAATTTAATGCACAGGTTCATCATTCAGTCCACTCTGAATTTAAACATAAATATGTTTTTATTAATATATATGTATGCATGTAAATATGTGATATAGATCGGTTTGGGGTTGGGTTGAGATAAGATAAATTCGGGCTTTATACTTAGGCCGAGTTTGGAAGGAGTACAAATGCAAATATGTATTTGTATTATTTTGTATGTATTTATGCTATACATATTTGCATTTGTACTCTTTCCAAACTGAGCCTTAATGGCTAATTCCTTACCCAGCCCAAACTTTTAAGCTGAGGTTCAGCCCAAAGACAAAAAAAATAAAAAGAAAAAAAAAAAGAAAAAAAGAAAAAAGAAAAATCCAATCCAACCTGTATAAAATTGTGGGTTGAGTTGGTCCAGGCTCAAGTTAGGCTTGTCCAAATTGCATACTTAATACAAGTCATTTGGGCCAAAAGGCAAAAACAGTGGGTTCAGATAGTCCTGTGAACCCGTCCAGTTTGCCCATTTGACCTGAAAACTTACCAACCCGGTTTTATTACGGTAGTAAAGTAGTAATATGAGGAGAAAAGAAGTAAAAAAGAATGATTCGGATCTCCTGTCCACGTCTATCCACATAACCTTGCAGTCATATATGAAGAACATCTCATCTTCCTACATAGTATTATGCAAGGGAAGACGTTCCCAATTCACAGGGATAGTGTGTTGTGGGTAAACATGAGCAGAGTTCACGTGGACAAGATAACCCGAATCAGTTCTGTTTACCTCTTGGACTTGGACGTCGGGGAACTTGTGCTCAAATGCTGCGAGCAGCTCCGGTGCAAGAGGAGCTGCCGCAGTCATGACAGCCCTGAGCTTGAGCCGCCGGAGATCGAATTCATCAACCACTGGATCCTTAACCAATGCCAACATGATGGGCGGCACAATTGGAGCAAACGTGATCTCATGGTTGATCAACGCATTCAAGAACGTCCTGAGATCGAACCTTCCCATCACCACAACTGTTCCCTTATTCCTAAGGGTGGCGCAACATATTCCCGTGATCCCGTATATATGGAAAAATGGCATGAGGCCCAGCGTAGTGATCTGGCCCACCATCTCAGGCCCAACACTGAAGAGTGTGGAGCACAAGTTGGCTACTAGGTTCCTGTGCGAGAGCATCACACCCTTTGAAGTCCCTGTGGTACCTGACGAGAACGGAAGGGCACAGAGATCAGTCTGCTTGATTGTCTCGTCGGCGGCATCGGAACCGGCACGGTCGGCTGCCTCAAGTAAATCCTCCCAACAGATGACATTTTCGATACGTTCTTCGCCCATTGCTATGATTGGCAAGCCCAGACTCTTCACCTGTTGGAGGTGCATTTAGCACAATTAGATTTTGAGACAATCTTCAATCGGACGGTCTACTTATTTAACAGAAGACAGTGGGGCCATTTACAAATTACAAAGGATGGGCTGGCCCATTTATCAAGTGTTCATTTACAAATGATCAAGATCCACCGTTGGATGGGTACATAATCTATTAACGTAGACAGCCAATGGAAGGACGCCGCCCTCTATACATGGAAGATGGAACAACAAGCAGCAGGGAAATGTTTGGAGGTCGGTTTGGTTGCAGAATGTTTGGCCAGCTGAACTATCCGGTTTGGTTGAGAAAATGATCATCCAAAATGGACTGACCATTAGCAAAAACCAATCCAAAATGTAAAGAATCGGCTTGGTCCATCAATTCAAAAGACGACTCAAAAATAGTTTTTACAAGTAGGAATAGCAATGGGTAGGGTACCCGTTCAAATGGCCCTACCCATTCCCAAATCCGCCTATATATTCTTAAATCCATTCTGTTTCAAATCTGTTAAACCCGTTCTACCCGTTAAACCCTTTGACCAAACGTTTTCTACTAAAAAAAAGTTTTTTAATGCTTATAGTGTGACTTGAACCCGGATCAATTAATGATAGCACCAAAACAATCAATACATCTATCAAATCCAAATTTACATCAAATGATAATTTTAATCCCAAAAAATTTATATAAATAAACTATTAATAATAGAATAATTATCTTAGTACTTAAAATTTATGAATTTGTACATGATATATAATATAATAGGTACATATTTATGCATCTTGGGTAGGATACCCTAAAGTCAAAACCCAAACCCATCCCCAACCCTATAGGGTTTTAATTTAAAATCTCAAACCTTATAGGGTTTTGATAAACGGGTCCTATTAGGGTCGGAACAAGTCGGGCACCCGAAAATTCATGTGAAATTTCCATCCCTATTTACAAAGTAAAAATCATATATTAAATGGTATTATGAAAACCATTTACTGTATATGATTACAAAAGTGTTTTTTTCACTTTTTCATATTAAGAAATTTAAATTTAAAATATAAATTATTAATATATAACTATAATCAAATCAATTACACACAACCAACCCAACCTCTCAGTTAACATAATACATAAACCGCAACCAATAAAAAATAATTAAAAAGCGACTTCAAGGCCCAGTAGTAGTAGTAGGATGGGTTGGTCCAATTCAGAGCCAGACGGTCTGTTCTGGGCTGACCAATTGGCCACCCAGTGCCAGTTGATCATGATTTAATGAATAGGTCCATAAACCAATATCTTTTACAATTATGGGCTTTGATAGAACGTTGATTTAGAGCAAGATTGTCTGAACTCTGAAGCAAGGACCAAGGATTACCACTAATTAATAACAAATCAACATCATCACCTTCTCGTAGGTGGATCCACTTGTAACAAGGAGCTTAGCATCAGCATCCTCAACCTGCTTCCTTATCTCTGATGCATGGGCCAATGGGTTTGCGCCGGAGAAGACTCCCCCGGCCATCATAATCCCAAGAGCAACAATGGCGTACTCCGCCACATTAGGGAGAACAACCACCACCACCTGCCCCTTCCTCAGGCCAAGAGACTTCAAAGCCTTAGCAAACCTTCGTGTGTCTCGGGTCACCTGGCCATATGTGTACGCCTTCCCAGTTACAGCCTCGACAAATGCTACCTTGTTGGCGTATAATTCAGCCTCATGAAGCACAAAGTCTGGCAGAGTCATGTTTTCCGGCACCGGAACTGCCGGAAGCCGACTGCGAAAAATATGTTCATCCTCCTGTTTGAGCCCTTGTGGTTGTGGTGGGTGGGTTTCCATCATGGTGAGTACTACTGGTGAGTGGTCGAGATGTGAAAGCGTGGGTGGGTGGACTAAGAAGCGCAAGGGCGGAGCAAAGGTTTTAAAGGACTCTCTGCTCGAGTTGTTGTTGTAATGGTTTACATATGGGATGGTGGGTGGGTTAAAGGGTGAGAATTGCATGAGCTTCAATAGGTAGAGGTTTGTTGAGTCATGAATGATCAAAATCAAATTTGTGACTAGTAATTGCACTATATTTTCTTGGGTTTAATTAAAATAACGAGCCTTTTTATTGATGCAAGACAATGAAAGAGTTCTAGAAATTAAGACAGATCAGAGATTTCTGTTCCACTTCAATTACATCAATTCTTTCATTTGAGAAATATAATTTTGGGTAGTCTTCTGTTGCAATTTGCAATTTATAGGCTCAGTTTGGTATGCACAGTGCAATTATAAGATCTATAAGTACAAAATACTAGGTTTTTGTACTGTACATATTTATGTTTGTACTCTTTCCAAACTGAGCCTTGTGTATGATCTGAAATAATTGCTGAAGCCGTTTGAATCATTTTAAGCATGGTCCTAATCCAATTCTATCCAATTAGCCAGCCCATTGGACCACCAAGATTGCTTTAGAATTTCCTCTATCAAATTGAATTTTGGCCATTCATTGTGTTTTGTTTAATTTTCTTCCCTCCTTTCTTTCTTTTTTTTTTTTAATCTATTTTTTCTGCTTGTTTCTGTGTTTTGGGCTGCATAACGCATGGGTAATGCATCTATGGGACAAAGCAAGGTTTTTAAAATCGATTTGGACAGAGAATCGTTCTAGGGTCTGGTTCCTGGGTTGAATGGTCTGACCGTCTGGTTCAAACGGATGGCCTCTCTGACAAAAAATAAAAAAAAATAAAAAATTTTAAAAAACCAAAAACCATTTCAGGGTTGAACAGTTTGACCGCCTGGGTCAGCGATTCACTGACCAAATCAACAGATTTTGGCCAAATAGCGATTTTAGGATAAAACGGAACTGATCAGGTAACCGTCCTAGCTAATTTTTCCAGTCCAACCATCCGAGCCAATCCAGTTTTGAAAACATTGGGACAAAGACGGAAAAACTAATAATAATAATTCAGTCTTGTGAACAAGGCTGGTGTTCACAAAAAATTCCAAAAAAATACATTAATAATATTAAATTTGAGTCTTTGATTATTATAAATAAGGAATATACACATATACTTTGATATTTTATGTAAAGTGTAAACAACTGGAACACACTTGAGAAATATTGGAAATGACAGAAGAATTAAAAATATATGTCTATCCTAATTCTTGGGGAAACTAGTATAATTCTTATTAATATTCAAAAATGTATTAACATTACTTTTTTTTTTTTAATTTTTCCATGGATATACTTTAAGAAAAGAAAATTTCGAAATGCTAATTCAGAGTTCATCTAATTTTGATAACTAGGTGAAGCATCAAACATGTAGTGGTGGGCTTGATGCCTTTTCACCTAGAGGTGAGGTGTGTTCAAATCTTATTAGATCCAATTTTTATACTATAAACTTAAGGTCATTTTTATAGATACCCTCTATAGTTTCATCTATGTAATTATCACCTCCTATCCTATGGTTTGCATATTACTAAGATACCCTTATAGTTTTGCAGCTGTTTTACTTATGAGTCTGGGATCTCCTGCCCCCAAAATATGTTCCAACACTCTTTCAATATGATATGAATCCCCACATCTCATACATGGTGGGTCTCAGTCTCATGATAAGATGTGCCATGTCAGATCATGTTGGAAGAATTTGGAACATATTTTATTGGCAGGAGTTCCCAACTCTTTACTTATGACTGTTTTTCTTAGATGAAGGGAATATTAAATGAAGTCTTTGGTAAATATATGGAAACTATAGGGAGTATCTAAATAAATGACCCTAAAAGTAATGGCCTGATTACAAGTTAATGAGAAAAATTAATCAAAGAATAATAGTTTATAGTGGATCCTAGTCTCAAGTTCAGATGTATAGTGTCAGATCAAGTTGGTAGAGAGTTGGAATGTGTTTTAATTTGTTGGCAGAAGATCCCAATTCGGTAGAATGTGGTTGCATGCATTAAGTGGGAAAAGTGGGTTATAGTGGAGATCAAGTCTTTATAAGTCGGTTATATTTCAAGAGTTTATTTAAGTTGTAATTCTCCTCTTAATTAAATTCTTAAGAGAATTATCCCTTGTATGTTGACAATTATCTATTGGAGGTCTTCGTCTTCCTAGAAGTAGACAATTCACATTGTGTCTTACTCGGGATTGTAACTTTTTCTTGTAGTGTGAATTTCATTTAAATTAGTGAAGATGCATGTGAGTGCTTTTTTTTTTCAGATTTGATTTTGTTTTATTTATTTGTGAAAAGTAAAATGATGTGATCTCCACCTTATATGAAAGAGAAGGGAGGTAGGTCTAAGGTTATTTGATTGGGAGTGAGGAAAAAGCAAGATGATGTGGTCTTCATATGAGAGTCCTTTTTTCTGTTGTTAAGGTGGTCTCCACTGTTTGTGACTCAGGATTCTATTTTATCATCAATCCAATCACCGTTCACGTTTTTTCTTTTTCTTATCAATGAATAGATCTCTTTACTTGTACAACTTAAATGTCTCATACTTCTCGAAAAAGTGATTTGATTGATAGGATTTAGTATGATATTTATAAGATTGATGAGATTGATATTCAAATATTTCTTCTCAGAACATATTGATTTGATCCCATAAGAAAGAGCACCGCCTAATAGCATGTTGCCACCAGAAACAGAACCACGTATTTCTTCTAGAGAATCTCCTAATTATTTCAGAGTAACTAAAAATAGATTCTTTAACCAGAAAGAATTCAGTTCAGATGTAGGATACCTATCCAGAAGTTTTCGTAACTCCACCATGGATGATGAAATCATCAAAGAGATTCTCACTATTTAGCTAAATTTGATTTATCTTGTAACAGACGTGGTCTTCTATTCCCTCTTTTCTACATTATGTTATTTGAAGTGAGATGCTTGATGAATGAATTTAGCCTTTGGGATTTTCAAAAAAAAAAAAATAATAATTGATACAGGAAGGTGGAGCAAATAGCACTGCGAGTGAGTGCAAATGAGACAAAAACTACAAATTTTATACTAGCAAGGAGTGCAAAACATAGTTACAAAATAGATACAAACAGGGTGCAACTTGGGCAGACTCAGGTTGAAGGTTTGTAAAAATTTGAATGGTCTGCACAAAGGTTCAAGCCTGAAGTAATGTAAAATGTTATCTCAGGCCAAGATTTGTAACGCTAGATACAAAATTGAACAAGATGCAAAATTTATATTTACTTCCAATTAAATTACTAACGAACAAAGGGAGAAAGGTAGAGAGGGATGGCTTGGTTAACTCGATTTCTAGTGGTTGTAGCATTCCTGGATTTCGGCATCCTCTTCTCTCCGGAAGCCTTCGGATCAAAATCAGATGGCGGATATTCATCCAAGCTCACCATCACTCTAAAGATCGTTCATCTCTTGTGTTTCTCAACCACTTCTGGTGCAGCTCTTTGGGTTACCTTCATCGGCTGAATTATCATGTTCAAGAATCTCCCGAGACACCAGTTTGAGAACCTGCAGAGCAAGATGTTTCCGGCCTACTTCTCACTGGTCGGGGTCTGTTGTGCAATATCGGTGGCCTCCTTCAGATACCTCCATCCATGGCGGTCATCTTCCCCTGCCGAAAGATATCAGCTTGGGTTTCTAATCTCTTCCTTCACTTTCAATATTGCCAATTTGTTCTATGTTGGGAAAAATCACTTGCACTTTTCTTTGTGCAAATCAGGGATATCCAAAACAATAAAAACAAGTATGTAGTAATAAAAATGAATTATAAAAAAAAAAAAAATAGAGCAAACAACAGTAGATACCAGGTTTTTACGTAGAAAACCCCTTAATGTGAGGGTAAAAACAACGGGACCGAAGTCCAAATCATCCATTATCAGCAATGAGAATGGGATACAATATTTTTCTATCTATTGAGAACTAGATGATGAACATCAAGAAAAACTCGCGTTCCAACAACAAAAACATTAATGGAGTAAATAGCAAATAAGAAATCTCTCACCAAAGGTGGAAATATAGCAATGGAAGCAAGAAGAGATGCTAAAAAATGGATTTCTCTTCCTCGTTTCAGTCCTTGTAAATCTCCTTCTTCTTCCCAAAAAACTTCTTCTCAAAACCCCTTGTTTGTTATCTATTGTCTCCTAGAGAGCTACTAAAGTTGTGAGAGTGGAGAGTGTGAGCTCTCCCAATTCGTTGGACACCAACAACATATTGGCTTGCAAGACAAGTCAAATAATACAAAAGGCTCTTTTTGTTGATTTTCCCTTTTTGTCCTTTCACTTTATTTCATTTGTCTTTATGATTTGTGGGTCCCACCTCATGAGGAGGACAACTCAACAAATCTCCCCCTCCGACTCATGAGGAGGTCTTCTTCATATTCAAACTTGCCAAGCCTCTATAGAAATCAAACTTGTTCTTGGGTAAACATTTAGTCATCATATCTGAACCATTCTTTTCCATATGGATCTTCTCTAGCTACAATTACTTCTCCTCAAGAAAATCTCTAATCCAATGATACTTAACATCAATGTGCTTTGACTTGAAATGAAAAGTTGGATTTTTAGCTAAGTGGATAGCACTCTGACTGTCACAAAGAACAACAAAGAATCGCTTCATCTATAAAATTTCCTTGCAAGCTTCGATTGCAACAATGTTTTCAACTTCTATAGTGGATAAAGCAACACATTTATGTAGTTTGGATTGCCAAGACACTGCTCCCCCTGCAAAAGTAAGTAAGAAACATGATGTGGACTTCCTAGAGTCAGTGTCCCCAAAAGCATAAACATAATTCAGAAGTGTCCCTAGGATACCTGAAAATCCACTTAACTGTTTTCCAATGCTCTTTGTTTGGATTTGCAAGAAATCTGCTAACCACATCAACTGCATGTGCAATGTCAGACCTAGTGCAAACCATAGCATACATCAAACTTCCTACGGCTGAAGAGTATGGCATATTCATCATTTCTTCATTTTTTTTCACTTGAAGGACTTTGTTCAAGACTTAACTTGAAGTGACTTGCAAGTGGAGTGCTAACTGACTTGGCTTTGTCCATATTGAAATTTTCCAATACTTTCTCAATGTACTTTTCTTGTGATAGCCATAGCTTTCTAGCTTTTCTATCACACCCAAGTCTTTCATAGCAAAACATTTACCTAACTCTTTCTTCAACCTGTTAATCTTGCTTATGTCCTACCCAACAATCAACATATCATCAACATAGAGCAAAAGAATGATAAAATCATCATTAGAAAATTTCTTAATGAATACACAATGATCTGTAGCTATTTTCTTATATCCATTGTCCACCATGAATGACCCAAATTTCTCGTACCATTGCCTAGGTGCTTGTTTTAACCCGTACAAGCTTTTCCTTAGCTTACAAACTATGTGTTCTTTTCCCTTGACTTCAAACCCTTCTGGTTGTTCCATGTAGATGTCTTCTTCCAAATCACCATGAAGAAATGCAGTTTTGACATCAAGCTGCTCAACCTCTAAATTCATACTTGCTACTAGGCCCAATACTACTTTGATTGATGACATCTTCACAACTAGAGAGAAAATTTCATCAAAATCAATGCCCTTTTTCTGACCAAAACCTTTCACAACCAACCTTGCTTTGTACCCTAACTGTGAGCCTTTTTCTTCTGTTTTCAATCTAAATACCCATTTGTTCTTAAGTGCCTTTTTGCCTTTTGGTAACCAAGTCATAAGTGTAGTTCTTATGCAAGGAATCTAACTCTTCTTGCATAGCTTTCAACCATTTTTCTTTTTCTTTGCTTTCTACAGCTTCCTCATAACATTGTGGTTCACTTGCATCACTAAGCATAACATACTCATGAGGATAATATTTCTTTGATAGCACTCATTCCCTAATAGATCTTCTCAATTGTGGTTCTTCTTCTTGAGTTTGAGGTTGCTCTTGATGTACTTAAGGAGCTTCTATGGGCTTATCCCCCTCTTCATGATCAACTTCACCTAGGTTGCCACTTGAAGTACTTTCATCATCAACCACATTATCTTGTAAGTCTTCTCTGTTTTCACCATGCACAATAGAGGAAGGAACCAAATCCAAATCAGTAAAGCTTTTAGGATTTGATTGTGACTTTGTAGTTTTCTCAAGCTCAACTATTTGATCTTCAAGGAAGATCACACCTCTGCTTCTTATTAGTTTCTTGTCAACTGTTCATACCAAATACCATTGATTTTACAATATTCCTCAAATGGACCAATATATTCACTTCCATTGTTTGTACGGATGCATTTTAGAAATTTTCCTGTTTTTCTTTCAACTTTAGCATAAAAATGTTTAAATATTTTCAATATCTCATTTTTATGTTTCATGGTATATGCCCATACTTTCCTAGATGCATCGTCAATGAATGTAACAAAATAAGAGGCACTGCCAAGGGACTTGGCTTTCATGTCACATACATCAGAATGAACCAATTTTAAAACACTTTGCTTTCTATGAGGAGGATTTCTTTGAAAAAAAAAATCTTTGTTGTTTACCAGCAAAACAATGAATGCATGAATCTAAATGCGTACCTTTCAAGCCCGGGAGGAATTGTTTCTTGGCAAGAACTTGAAGTCCTTTCTCACTCATGTTTATTAGGAATTTCTTAAAAATTGCCATGTGTCTAGCTTTCTAGAAAATGAAAAGGCCACTTGTTTGAATGGTGGTAGTGGGTTGTGGGCTTTAACAACTTCTTAGAAAATGCAACGTGTCTAAATTTCCAAAAAAATGAGAAGTCCACATGTCAGAATGAAGGGAGCTGTAACCTATCCAGGCAACCGGTTTCGTTTTACCCCAAACCCGGTTTTTGGCCAAAAACCTTTGAAAAAGTCAACAACCCATTGACCCGAGCAGTCAAATCGTCAACCCGTCGACCCGTTCAATGGTTTTTGACCATTTTTATTTTTAATTATTTTTTTTATTTTTTAAATTTATTTGTTAGAATGGGCCATCCGTTCGAACCAAACGGTCGAACCGTCGACCCAGAAATCAGTGGCCAAAATGGTTCCGTTTCCGGGTTGTTTTTTAAAACCATGAACATCACAATTAATTACAAAATTTACCAAAACTAATTTAGAGGAATTAACAAGAATAAATTTCCAAAACAATTATATATTGTTAATTATTGTAAATTTACAATAAACATATTGATAATTTACTGATAATTAGTGATAGTTTACAAAAAAATATTTTACTGATAGCTAATTTTGTCATATTTTACTGATAATTACTAATTAATAATTCAGATACACAAGTTAAATCAATTTCTTAATTAAATCCAAATACTGAGCTGGCTTAAAAATTCGATTACAAAATTTACCAAAAATAATGTAAAGAAATTACCAAGAATAAATTTCCAAAATATATATACATTGTTAATTATTGTACATTTATAGTAAATATATTGATAATTTACTGATAATTAATAATAGTTTACGAAAAATATATTGTACCGATAGCTTATTTTGTCATAATTTACTGATAACCACTAATTAATAATTCAGATACACAAGTTAAATCAATTTCTTAATTAAATCCAATTACTGAGCTGGCTTAAAAAAATCCAATTACTAAGCTATTAAAGTAATGCAACTCTATATTATGTAACTATGTTTTGTTGTGTTTTAATTTCTTGTAATTGTTTCTTTTACTCTTACCCTGCAGGGTATGTTTAGGTATGCATCAGAAATAATGTATGGTTCTTGTCACGACCATAGAGAAAATGCATGGGTAGGTACAATGACAGTTTGTAATGCATTGGCTGTAGGCTTGTAGCTACTGGTTGTGTGAATGCGTGCCTGCTTTTGTACTACAATATTTGATTTGAAGATCATGGGGCTAATAAGCATCATCTATATTTTACTATACAAACCCAAATTAATTAAATCTGTTTGATCATGATTCTTTGTACTGCTAATTGAGCACCTCTGCCCTCTATTCAATCAGAAATCAGAATAATCTTGATAATCTACCATCCATTCAATACAATTTAATGGGTCTTTTGCTTTCAGTGATTCTATATTCGTTTGGCGCCTTAAAAATTAGCCTGGAGTGTGACTGTAATCATATATATTCTTAGTTTGCTGAATATCTGTAACATATGGACAAAACAACAATAATGGAGAAATATTAATTATTTTCTATTAAACGATAACACCCATGTGATTGATGAATTTTGGGTGGAAACCCTTTTCTGTGGCGTGAACCCTCAGTTATATTTCTATGTTGTAGCCTTGTAGGTCATGATCCTCTGAATTGAACTTACAGCACTAGGGAATTTACAGCTTTGTAGGTCATGTGGCTTCACTCTTTAGAACAGTCCCTGCACTATCATGACTTTAGTGCCCTTTCTTCTGTCAATAAGTTACATAGAGACTAGAGAGTATCTCTTCGCTCCCCGGTTCTGCAAACATTTATGTTTCACCAGCATTCGTTACTGACTCAGCAAAAGCAGAAATTTTACAGACAATGGTTCTGCAAGCATTTCTTCAAACTTGGCCGTGTTCCCAAGTCTTCCCTTAGAAATCCTTTTCAACTTGGAAACGTCTTTGTCTCTCCAATATATGTATAGCTGCTTACCTAGGTCTTCCAAAGAAGAAGCTTGCATTTTCTGATAAAGAAAGTGATAAAATGAGCTAATTAAGCGACATCAAATTAAAGCTTGAACTAGGATATCTTTACCAATCGGACCTGAAGAAATTGTGATGAAATCATTACAATTTATTCACATTAAGAACAGCTCATTTATCATCCAAAAACACATTACAATTTATTCACAACTCTTTTCATGCTCTGTTTCACATTAAATGATTCCTTGAATGGATATTAAAGGGTTTTGGATACACTTGATAGCAATGCAGTTTTCTCATGGCTCCTTTGTGACTATATGCTGGAAAGAAATATTTATATTCTCTATCATTTTTTCATACATGTTAGTGAGAGAATATCATTATATCATTATGTACTTAATTTGTAAATTATGTAATAGTAAATGTAAATTTTGACAAGGCAATTTGTTGTCTCTCATGCATAATTAATAACATGGAATTCAAAACTATGAATTTTTCAAATCATAATATTACAATGAATGGCTGATGAAAAACGCAAGGATTTCTGAATGACAACAGGCTCTTGCATAAAATAGCTTTAACCTTTTAACCTTCACTTCAACCCTATAACATTCAATACATTAAATTGATTATGTCGTACTTACAAGTCTTTAGAAAACCATGTAACATAAGTTAAAAGAAAAGATCAAGGGGAAGAAATATAGCATTAATTATATAAAAACCTGGCCAGGTGGTTCCTTGGATGGAGAGAAAAAATTCCAAATAAGAGAACTAATGTCGCTTCATTTCCCTGAAAATGTTTGATACTTTTGGAGACAATCTTGGAAGGAATTTGAATAACTGTAGCAAAAACAATAAAGGAAAACAAAATAAGTTTTGCAGGCATGGTTGTACAAAATGAAGTTTAGGTTTCAGTAACATAATAACATAACGAAGATTTCCAAAAATTAGCAACAATTCCTTTTAGAAGGATCCTAATCTCAAAATTAGAAATTCATCCTTGCTTCGTTGCATACAAGCATGCAAGTGAGTAATAAACCACCACAATAGGTACTCTTCTGTTTGTATTGATGGAAGAAAGTTGGGGAACGGAACTGGTGGTTCCAATTCCAAAAGCTTCCAGATACTACTGGTTAACACCAAAGCCAAAAATTGATGGAGTTAGCTATTCATGAAAAGGGAGGGGAATTGAATTTGTTTCTACTTAACTCATCAAAACCTTATCCCAAGAAAAATCTACATATTCAGAGCAAAGGCACTATGCAAAGATATACCAATTGCAAGCTGAATCATCCACTTGTAATAAGGGGGAGAGGAGTCTCTCAGTATATTACTAAGATTTGACATTGATCTGGAAAGAGTTGGACCATTATCAAAGTGTGAATTGGAAATGTGATGAAAATGCAAAAGCTTACAAGTCCCTTGTCTCCCAGCATCAAGCATTTGCTTTTCTCTTGGGACTGAATCCTACTTAGGAATTTATCAGAGTACAAATTTTGGGAAGTAAGAACTTACCTTCAATCCAAGAGGCCTATGCCTTAATCCAATCTGAAGAGAGTAGAAGTGTGGTGAATTTTTTAGAAGGGGAGCCGGTTGCCCTAGTAGTCAAAGGAGGTACAAGCAGAAAAAGATGGAGTTCTTTTAAGAAGGGTGGCTTCCAAAAGATGGTAGATGACAAAGACAAACTTTGGTGCACTCAATGGGATCTCCATGGGAAGCCCATGTGGCTCGGGAATTAAGTATAAAATCAGCATCTAATTAGACTAAGAAGCTAGTTTAGTAGAATCAGAAGAAATATAATTTAGCAAGTGTGGCCTCTCAAGAGACTTGTCCCACGGTATCTTAGTAATGTCCCTCTGGTTCTGACCCCAAGGAATAGATTATCAATTCTTGTTGTGACCATTTGGAGTTATATGGTAGGACACTTCGTCAGGTGGATTTTGGCCCTACTCCTACCTCTTTTGCATCTACATCAAGTAACTTTGCCACTGCCTTCCATGTGTCATCTCATACATCCTAATCTCCTTGGATAATTGACTCCGAAGCTTCAAATAACACGATTGCTAAGTCAAGTCTATTTCAGGCATATAGCCTCCTCTCTGAGAGAGATAAGGTGAGACTAACTGATGGGTCATTCTCTACCATAGCCGATCAAGGAACCATCTCCCTTCCCTTTGGCCTTACCTTCTCTAAAGAGTTACATGTTCCAAAATTGCCTATTAATTTACTTTCCATCAGCAACATTACTCACTCTTTGAATTGCTTAGTAACCTTTTTTCCTTCTTCTTGTGTGGTTCCAGGATTTGACCTCCAGGAGGACAACTGATAAAGGAAGTATGGTGGATGGTCTCTACATTTTGGAGAATAAAGCTAGTCTTGTGGTTACAAAGTCATTTAAGTCCATCTAGTGAGAGTTAAGCCTACTTATGGCATAGTCGTCTTGGTCATTTTTCTTTTGAATCGTTAAAGGTTGTGCTTTCAGAATTATTTAAGCATGTCATAAAATGAGTTGCAGTGTCTGACATGTCAATCAAGCAAACATTTTTAGAAGTTATTTTCCTTTAAGAAATAAAAGATCTGAACTTCCTTTTCACATTGTTTATTTTGTTGTTTGGAGACTTGTTACTCTACCTTTTGAAACTGGCTATAAGTATTTCATTGCATTGATTGATGATTACTCTAAATATACCTGGATTTTTCCCATGCAATCTAGAAATGAAGTGTCGAAGCTTGTGAAAGATTTTTGTTGACAGATGTTGTTGTAAACAGGTTTAGTACCGCAAGGGTACTGTTGTAATTTCCCCATATTTTATGTTGTACAACCAGACTAGTATAAATAATAACTACTGCACACGCCTGCAGTACTTTTTTGGGGCTTTCAGTCCTCTCGCCTATCCTCTCTTCTCTTCCTCTCTTCCTCCTCTCTTCTCTTCCTCTCTTCCTCCTCTCTTCTCTTGCTCTTGCTCAACATGGTATCAGAGCAAGTCATCCAGGCCTGAAGGGTGGTGTCAAGAAAATCTGTTGTGTTCAATGTCAAGCAGTTAGTCTCTTCATCTCCCAGAACTGTATCCATCGAACTGCTAATCTGTTGTGCTCAGTTCGACCTTATGCAAGAAGATGCCTGTCTGATTTTTCATCTTCCAGCATAGAAAAGGGTTCTAGTTATAGAGACTTTTCATCTTCCAGCCCAGAAGTTGTATCCATTGTCTGTTCGACTGTAGAGAGGCTATCATCTGATGTTCGTAGAGGAAGTTCTGGTTTACAGAGAGGCTATCATCTGATGTTCAAGAAGGTACTGTTCATCCAATGTTCGGGTGCCCTGGTATTCAACTTTTTTTTTTTTGTATTTCTTTGCACCCTTTGATGGACTATTGATGCCCTGAAGTTGGTATTGTATTTTCCATTGACTGTTCACCTACCCTGTTGATTGACTGTTTGGCTACCAGGTTTGCCGATTAGGTGTGTGGTGAACTTCACCATGTATTTTCCATTCTGTTTGGGGGTCATATGACTTCTGTAACATCGTAAATCATATAGACCTGGTTATGTAATGCAACTGCAGTGTTGTTTTTTTGGATTCCTACAAAATCGTAGGTCATACAGACCTGTTCAAGTGCTGCAACAGCAGTGTTTGATCTTGGCTCCCAGTGAAACCGTAGGTCAGAAGGACCTGATTGTGTGCTGAAACAGCAAGTGTTCTTTCTTTCGTGGACTGAAGGTCATAAGGACCTGTTTCTGTAACAGCTCTGTAAGGTAGTACTCCTTTGGTTGTTGTCTTCTCTTAAACCCGAAATCATGAGTAGTGAAGATTCAGCCACATCTGGAGTTTCCTCAATGCTGAATAGAATGGGTGGGGGTGACCTATCCTTTCCTATGGCTGTTGTCCCTCTTGATGGTTTAAATTACCTAGAGTGGTCAAGAGGGATCAAGCTACCACATTCTACTTTTTGCTTCTCCAAGTAACTAGATTTCCTCCTATAAAGGTACAGTAGCCACTAGTTAACTTTCTATCATTCAGGGATCCTGCCCAATCTGCATCAGTGTACTCTTCAACTTTCAAATGTCCGTGCTTTTGAAACAACAAGCCAGCACCTGGGAACTTCTTAAGATATCTGAGAACTCTTTCTGCTGCTTCAAGGTGAGTGGTCTTGGGAGCATGCATGAACCGGCTAAGAACACCGACTGCATAAGCAATGCCGGGGTGGGTCATAGAAAGATATAACAATCTTCCTATAAGTCTCTGAAACTGTTTCACATCCTTGATAGGTTCACCTTGGCAATCACCTAATTTGTGGTTAGGATCAATAGGGGAATCAACTGGCTTCACTCCCAATTTTCCTGTATCCTGGAGTAGATCTAGGACATACTTCCTTTGGGAAATGAAGATACCCTTTTGTGAGCGGGCAACTTCGATTCCAAGGAAGTATCTTAGGGGACCTAGATCATTTCCTTCAAACTGTGTAGCAAGAAAAATCTTCAACTTTTGGATTTCATCCTTCTAATCGCCAGTGATAATTATATCATCAACATATACTATCAAAGCAGCAATTTTTCCTTCCCCTCTTTTCACAAACAATGTGTGATTAGATTGGCATCGCTTATATCCTTTCTACTGAACCACTGCATGGAACCTGCTAAACCAGGCTCTCGGTGATTGTTTCAGCCCATATAATGACTTCTTCAACCTACACACTTTCTATTCATTACCTTGAGCCCGAAAACCAGGGGATTGTACCATGTAAACTTCCTCTTCAAGGTCACCATTCAGGAATGCATTCTTGATATCAAGCTGATGTAGATCCCAGTCAAGATTAGCAGCAATGGAGAAAATGACTAATGAAATTCATCTTGGCAACGGGTGCAAAAGTCTTTGCATAATCAACTCCATACACTTGTGTAAACCCCTTTGCCACTAAACGAGCTTTATACCGCTCCACCGTGCCATCAGCCCTATCTTTGACTGTGAACACCCATTTACATCCAACTAGATCTTTTCCCTTAGGAAGATCTACTAGTTCCCATGTGCTATTCTTATGTAAAGCATTAATTTCTTCCTTCATAGCATCTATCCATTCAAGTACTGAAAGAGCTTCTGCCACATTCTTGGGGATAGGAACACTGTCAATGGAAGTGAGAAAGGCCCGAAAAGAGGGTGAAATGTTTTCATAGGAAACAAAATGGGAAATGGGGTGTTTAGTGGTGCAAGATCTAACACCTTTTCTATGAGCAATAGGAAGGTCAAGGTCATTAGCATAAGAGGTATCAATAGCAATAGGGTCGGGGACATTGATAGAAACCAAGATACCTGAGTGAGTATGATCTGCCCCCGGAGAGGTTCTCCACAGCTCTTGAACTTGGTTGGCCTTTGTGACAACGAAAGAAGACACGAAAAGGAGTAGGATCAGGAATAGGAGGGAGATGAACCAGTTTCTCCTCATTCCTACACTCCCCCTGAGGAGAAACAGGGAAAAAAGGCTCACTCTCAAAGAAAGAGACATCCAATGGATACATAAAACTTTCGAGAAATAGGATTAAAAAAACGGTATCCCTTCTGAGTGAAAGAATACCCCAAGAAGATGCAAGGAATAGTACGAGGGTCTAATTTTCCACGAGTAGGTGGCAGATTTTAGACAAAACAACAACAACCAAACACACGAGGAATGGAAAAAAAGGGAAACTTAGGAAAAAGGAGCTGATGTGGGGCTTTGTACTCTAACCAACGGGAGAGCATACAGTTGATGAGATAGGTAGCACAAAGGACAGCCTCAAGCCAAAATTGTTTCGGGACATTCATATGGATTAGTAAACCCCGGGCCACTTCAAGGAGGTGTCAGTTCTTTCTTTCGGCAATACCATTTTGTTGTGGTGTTCGGGCACAAGAGTTATGGTGAAGTGAACCACGTGAAGCAAAAAATTCCGTGAGATCACTATGAAAATAATCTTTGGCATTATCTGATTGAAAAATCTGGGTTTCAGTTTGAAATTGGGTGAAGATCCTCCGCTGAAAATCTTGGATAATTTTTAGTACTTCATCCTTGGTCCGCATGGGATATACCCATGTATATCTAGAATAATCATCGATAATGGTAATAAAATACTTGTAGCCACTCTCAGATGGTAAAGTAACAGGGCCCCACACATCGGAATGAACAATGTGAAAAGGAAATTCAGATTTATTAATTTTTTAAGGAAAATGAGTTCTACATTGCTTACTCAATTGGCAAGTTTGACAAGAAAAATCTGAAACTGACATCGACTTAAACAATTCTGGAAACACTACTTTTAAAGACTCAAAATATAAATGACTAAAACGACAATGCCATAAATAGAGTTAACTCTTACAGGATTGACTCTTAGACTCTATGACTTGAAGACCATCCTTATTCTCCAGCATGTAAAGTCCATCGACCATATATCCTCTACCAATCATCTTCCCCGAGGCCAGATCCTGGATCACATAGTAAGAAGGAAAAAAGGTTACTAAACAATTTAAGGAATTAGTAATACTACTAACAGAGAACAAATTAATGGGAAATTTCGGGACATGTAAAACATCAGAGAGGGTAAGGCCAAAAGGAAGAGAAATGGTTCCTTGACCAGTTATGGTAGTGTATGATCCATCAGCTAGTCTCACCTTGTCTCTTCTAGAAAGGAGGTGATAGGTTTGAAAGTAAAAGGACGTACCAGTCATGTGTTTAGACACTCCAAAATAAATGGTCCGAGGAGTGTCAAGGGTATGAGATGCAACATAGAAAGTTGTGGTAGAGTTACCTGATGTAGACGCAAATGAAGTTGAGGGAGGGGCATCCATCTGACGAATTGCTCTCCCATAGAGCTCTAAATGGTCACGGAAGGAATTAATAATATCCTCCCTTGGGTTAGATCTAGAGACGTGAGTCGGTGTCACAATAGTAATGGGAGGCTGATTTTCCTGAGAGGCCATGTTTGCCACAGTGTTCTTTCTTGTACTTTGCTGTCCAGACTTTTTATTCAGATCTGAACCTTGCTTCTTATTCAAATCTTGACCCATTTTGGCTTCCCATGAAGATCCTAGCATGTATCTCGAGTGTGTCGGGGTTTCTGGCAACGAGTACACCACAGTTTGTCTTTGTCATCCGCCCCCTTTTTAGAGTCCCCTCTCTTAAAGGTATTCCCACCACCTGTAATCAACTTCCGTTTGCTGCCAACCCAACTACATCCCCTCCAGAACTGTTCATCAAGTTCCTTCTATTTTCTTTTGATTGTACAAGAGCATAAACTTCCTAGACGGAGGGAAGAGCCTTGCTACCTAGGATCTGAACTCTGATGGATTCATATGTCGGATTCAAGCCATGTAGAAAAGCAAACACTCTTTGCTAAAATACAAGTTTCTTGTATAATTTTGCATCTTCATCACACTTCCAGTCCATACTCTGATAATGATCTAACTCCTTCTAGACAGAGGTCAAGTCTGAGTAGTACACAGAAAGACACCTCTCCCCTTGTTTACAAGTGGACGATTCTGCCTGTAACTAATAAATCTTTGCATAGTACGCAGGTTAGAATAAGTTGATTTTGCCTGTTCTCAAATTTCATTTGCCGTTTCAGCCCACATAAAGTTCCTTCTTATTTGAGGTTGCATAGACACTAAAAGCCAGGACATGACCATGCTGTTTTCCTAGTTCCATATGTCATATTCAGCACTCCCAAAATTTGGTTCTTTGATTCTCCCATTTATATAACCTATCTTTCCCCTTGCAGTAATGTACAACTTAATCCTTCTTGACCATTCCAAATAATTTAAACCGTTGAGAGGAATAACAGCCATGGGAAAAGATAGGTCCACACCCCCACTCATTCCATTCTGCATTGAGGAAACACCGGACATAGCAGAATCTTCATTGCTCATGGTAACAGATTCAGAAAAAAAAAAAAAAAAACTCTTAAGAGTGAGGCAAAACCTTAAAAAAAGGCTAACACCAAGGGAGAAAAGGGAGCCCCCTTTTTCTTTGAAAAAACACAGGTGCTGTTACAGCACTAACAGGCCCCCTTTTTGATAAACACCAATGCAGTTACAGGGCTGACAGATCAATTCTGGATTTACGCATCAAACACGGATGCTGTTACAGAAAGTACAGGTCACCTTGACCTTACAGTTCAGCATAAAAGCTGCTATCACAGCACATAAAGGTCTTTATTGACCTATAGAATTTTCCAGGGGTCAGTCGACCCCATAAAAAAGGAAATACAAAGGTGCTGGTCACCTCACATTCAATCAGCAGACTAATACAGGTTCTGCCCTGGCGCATGGCCAGAAAAAAAGAGGGAAGAATAAAGATTACTTCAGGCGTGAGAACTGTAGATGATGGCGGCAAATCTTCAATCACTCGAACTGTAGATGGTGGTGACAGATCTGGAAGTCTGGGCGATCTCTCCTTTCCAGATCTAATGGTCCCGCTTTGATACCATGTTACCAGTATAGTGATGAAGGAGAAAAGAAGAGAGGAAGAAAGAGCGGAGAGAGCAGAAGAGAGAAGAAATATTTGAGAGTCAAAAGGCATGCTGGCAGGCGGCGCCAGCTATTTGTTATATATACTAGGGCGACAACAACTAAAAAAATAAAAAGGTAAAAGTACAATAGTACCCCTGCCTACTATACTTAGGAAAAATAATAGCTTTCAACAACCCTCTTAATATTGATCCCCCTACTATTGATGATCTTGATGTTCCTATTGCTAAGATTAAGAGAAAGGATGTTAGATCTTGTACTACTAATCATCCTATCTCTCACTTTGTTTCTTATGATCATATTTCACCTTCATATCGTATTTTTCTTACCTCCACTGACAACATTTCTATTCCTAAGAATGTGGTAGAAGCTTTATCCACACCTAAATGGACAAATGTAATGAAGGAAAAAATTAATGTCTTGCACAAGAGTGACACTTGAGTGTTGGTAGATCTTCCTAAAAGAAAAGAACCAGTGGGGTGTAAGTGGGTGTTTACAGTGAAGCATAATATTGATGGTACAATAGAAAGATACAAAGCTAGATTAGTGGCAAAAGGGTTTACAAGGTTCAAGCCTCAACATGAACTAGGGATTCATCCTTAACAATTTTATGCCAATTATAGAAGTCATAGGTAGCAGCTGAAAAATGTTAATACTTCATAGGGGATCAAGGGCATAGGTAGCATGCTATCCATAATCAACAAATAGCAACATATACCAGTCCATATATAAAAATGCTTGCATGCATATTCATGCACAAGGACTGTGAAAAAAGCAGCTACGTTGTTTATATACAATTTTACGATTTTCAAGTTTAAGACATACCCAAAGCTTCACACATGCATCGATAACAACTGGAACAAGGCATACAAAAATAGTTATCACAGACTGATCAACCTCAAACCCATAATGCTCAACAATTATTTCCAACAAAGTTTGCCAACCTGATTCAGAATGATACCTGCATTTTTACAGTTACATAAGAAACATGGCAACTTTAGATAGGCAAATTAAAAATGAAAGCATAGTTTGCACATGAAGTAATCCTTCTCTGCCACTAAATTATTATCAGATGGGAGGCCCCATAGCCATCTGACAACAAGGAGCTATCTGTAGAAGGTGAAGTATGAAAAACACCATTGGTAACTGATAATGTGGAGATACTATGAGATATTCAAACTTAATATGCAGAGGAAGCACTTTACCCACCTTCAACAAAGAAAGTATTCTCTTTAAGGAACTAAAAATGAAAAAAAAAATGCAAGTTGATGTTAAGAGAGATTGAACAGAATTAAAGAGATCATGGAACTTCCTGAAACTGCAATTTTACGAAATATGAAGACAAAGTGTTGAGGAGTTGTTTATAAGCTTTTTATTAGCTTATTAGTCTGTTTTGATGATGTTACAGCACATTTTTTTATGTTCTTTATTCCTTTATATGGCAGCAGGGTCGTTTGGTCATTCTACATCTTTTTATTCTATCGATATAAATACAAGTGAAGTTAGTGGCAGCACACCTTTTTGCTTCCCCCACATTCTTCCCTTTTTTTCTTCTCTTCTTCTCTATTCTCTACTCTTCTCTCTTTGCATCAATTATATCAATTCAGATTCAAAGCAAGCAAAAGTAAGATGATTATATGGGGAAAATCTTGAAATAGGATAAGAGATCCTACAAAATGGGTGTTGAAAGATGCAGGTTTTGGAGAGAAAAAATCATTCAACACAATCTTAAACATCAAAACATTGTAAGTTCACCATAAAAGAAATGAATAAGAAAGACAAAAGACATGCTTCGAAGCACAATCTAATCTCAATGAACAAGTCATAAACAGCATAGACATGATTATGGGAGTTGGTTCATATAACTATTTCACACGTGGTTTTAACTCATACAACTGTACCTTTGCATGAATAATTTATTTAACAGTGCAAAACTGTTCAACAGTACTATCTATTAACCATGTTTTCAACCCATCATTGTTGGACCATGTAACCCAGTCACAAATCACAATCCTGGTTGGGGTCAACATCTAACCTGCTATATTACAAAATAAAAAAGAAAAAAAAAATACACTTCGACAACCTCTGTTCTCGGACAGTTGAACTGATATGTATGACCCATTCAACCGGTTTCCAGTTTTTTGAATTATTTTTTATTTTTTTAGAATAATGGCATGACAGGTTGACCTGTTGACCTGGAATGACTGAACTGCTGACCTATTGACCCAGAGGCAGTTCAACATCAGGGCTGTGTTTTAAAGCACTTACTACAAAAGTAGAGGAAACATTACCCCAGAAAAATGTCTGTGATAAGGATAATAAGAAATGCCTTCCCAGTATCTGAAATATTATTTATTAATTTATATCCCGTAAACTTCAGCAGTGCTACCTGCAAAAAGAAAGACGTGTGAGAAGAATGAAACATCTAGTGCTTTAAGTGAATTTAATTTCACAACATAGTCTTTACATACAACTGTAATCATACAAGCATCGCAATTCGCATGCCCACAAACAAATCATGATATTAGGATTTTCCAAAAGGTTTCCAAATAGTGTTAGTCTCCAAAGGATTTAACCTTTTGAGTCAAAAGGAACAGCTGGTCATGCCTGCAACAGTTTATTAACCTGCCCTTGAACCCCTAAAGGTTAATAAACATCAAATATGAAACACAAAATTGATTCATTAGATGGTGAAAATATTCTTTAACCACTTTGCGTAATGTAGAGAAATAGCCCATTCCAATTCCAGTTCCAGACCCCTATTCCTGCGAATCAAACGGGTCCTTAGTTTTCTTTGTTTTAAATAGCTTAATTTCTGCTGTAGTGGGCCTTCTTTATGGGCCTGTTTTTTATTTCTTTTTGTTTATGCTTAAGTCAACCACCCAACTAAGGGCACTCTTCTAACTTTACACATTTTTATTTCAGCATATATAAATCAAATGAGAGAGACAAAGGAGAGAAATCAAACTACTCTCTTCTCTCTTTTCTTCTCTTCCATTCTCTCATCTTCTACCTAAAGCTTCTGCTGAAACTCTTCTTTCTTTCTTTCTCTTTCTATTTTTATTTTATTTTTTGAATTATTACAGGTGTGTTCTGCAACTGCCAGATACAAAGCATCTCTAGAAAACATGGACAGAATTGCCCTTAAGTGGTGATTTGACATTAAATGGACACCCAAAGAAATCAACAACAAAAGCAGAACCAAAAAGGCCTACAATAAACAGAAGATGTTTAAATCCTCCACTTTTTGGGCTGTTTCATGCAATCTATCTTGCCAAGAAATCAGAGGCTAGTTTTCCTCCAAATATCTTTTATCATTATCAGAATCAAGAAATGTATTATCAACTGAAATAAATAAAGCATATGATAAATAACTTCCAGACCAGGAGATCACAACTGTTACATTGGAATATTAATACTATTTTCTGCTTTTGCCTTCTTTTTCTCTTCTTGCCTTTCTGTTTGGGGCTTTTGAATTTCAATAGCTATAAGTTGTAACATATCAACCAATACAATAGCCTGCTAAACTAATGCAAACGGATTGGACTCCAATACAACTCTCCCCTCTCAATTCCCTCCTTAGATAAAGAATCCACCATAGATGAAATGATATAGTCCATGGGCCCTCATCTCCCTATCAGATATGCCCTACTACCAGTGTAACTCCAAATTAAAGACAATATCTCTTCTCAAATGTAGTCCCCAGTGCCTATTAGTCCTGATTAGGCCAGGAAAAATATGCACATATATATGCAAAAATATATGTACATATGTGCACATGTCATTTTTTGATGGATAATGAAACTTATTCCAAAAATAGTAACATGGAAGAAAAACAACTCCAAGAATAAGAATACTAAACAGTAAAACAAGAAGAACAATTAAAATATTAAAAAGAGATTGGACACCCTATAAAGTCAGAGAGAAAAAAGGCAAAGTTGGAAAGTGAATTATAACTTACTTTGCTCTGATTAAAGTATAAAAGAATGAATAATGTAATCCCAAAAACCATATCCGACCATATATTGGCAAATGCTCTCCGGTTCTCTAACCTCCATTCATCTCTCAACTCTAACCTGGTAACATCAGAAGAGATCTAAGGAACAGTCCCTAGTTCATAACTTATAACAAATTCTTAGCTATTACATCAACTTTTGAAAATCAAAGGTTTGCAATTAAAGAGGATAAACTAAAGTCCATACAGAAAATTCATATACAAACATTTCCAGAAGCATAATGCTTTGAACTCAAGTAGTTGGAATCCCAATATATAAATGCATTGGAAAGTTTTTAGTGCCCAAAACCATTCAAACATGACATCCTTCCATATTTGAACAGGGTGTCATGCAAGTTAGAAGCAGAAACATTTGGGCCGTCATGTTTCACTCTCTCTCCTCTCTCTAAGCATCTATCATAATAAAATTATTTTAAAGGTAATATCATAATAATTAAAGATAAATCTATAGAATATTTGAAATAACTAATTGCATGCCTTTGGCTATTAATGTGTGCACAAATACATAAACATGTGCACATGTGAACACCACACAGAAATGCTTTTTGATGTGCAATGAGAAAAGGAAATACCAATTAAAAATGACCAAAACGCTCATAACATGGGAATAAATTAGTTTTATTCGTACATATGAGATGGAGAGAAGAGAAATAGAAGAGGATGGCAAGAAATAAGAATTATTGATCGTGAAAGAGAGGCAAATCTCAAGATATTGCAACAAGCCAGAGAGCTGTGACAAGCAAAGTTTCAGAGAAAGAATGAGGGCAGAAGAACAAAAGTCCGAAGGCCCACAAGCTATTATGTGTAGCAACTCCAAAAGTTGAAGGCTGTCCTTATATGAAGCAATGTCAAGTTGACCACTCAGTATTAAACTATGATTCTGAAGCTAGGAAGATTTTATTGGTGGTATATGTAAATGACATTTATAACTGACAATGATGGTCTAGAGATTGACAAATTGAAGGTCTTTCTGCATGATCATTTCCAAACAAAAGATCTTAGCAAAATAAAGTATTTTTGGGGAATAGAGGTTGCAAGGTTAAAGCATGGTATTAATTTGTGCCAAAGGAAGTATGTGCTTGACATGTTAGAAGAGACAAGATTGTTGGGCGCTAAACCAGCTGAAACACTAGGGGTGCAAGTCGGGCGGGTTGGGCCGGGTTTATGGTCAACCCAGGCCCGACCCTAAAACTTGGGCTTAAGGCCCAAGCCCAGACCAAGCCCAAGGTCAAGCCCGACTTTCCCAACCTAAGCCTAGCCCGCACTGTAATTTGATGCACTCAAGTTGGGCTCAGGCCCGGGCCAGGCTCCGGTTAATCAATGAACCCACTCTAAAATTATACATATACAAATGTATTTATGCAAATATATACATATTTTTTTTATCAATAACTCTGAAAATTTTCATTAATTAAGATGTTTTAATATACAACAAGAAGTTACAAAGAAATCAGCATAGAAGTTGACCCAAGACAGAATTACAAATGTGCCCAGAACATATCTGTTCTTTGAACCCCTTGCTTTGCTAAGCTATCAGCCAAGCTGTTGACCAATCTCCTAACCCAACCCACCTGAATAGACATATTTCTTGACATCCATTTGAACCTTCTGAAATCATTCTTCAGTTGCCAGGTCTCTCCTTCCCCTTTTTGCAACCATTTTATCACATAAATATACATATATTTATGTATACATGTAAATATGCATGCAAAATATGTATACAAATGTTATATATACAAATAAGTATCTATATGTAAATATGTATGCAACATTTACACACACGCACACACACACACATATATATATATATAAATGTATATAGTTGGGTCGGGTTCGAGCTACCCAAGGGCTAGGCCTGAGCCCAGCCCGAGGACCAAAAATCCAAGCTCAGCCCATGTAAAATTCCAGGCTGGGCCAGTTCGGGCTCGGGCTCGGGCTGGGCCCGCCCAAGTTGCACCCCTATGAAACACCCATGGAGCCTAATGTCAAATTAAGTACTAATGCAGGTGAGGAATTTGATGATCCTAGGAGGTATGGAAGGTTATGGATAAGTTGAACTATCTAACTATTACCCGATTAGATTTCTCTTTTACAATCAGTGTAGATAGCAAGTTTATGCAAAACCCACGAGTTCCGGATTGGAATGCAGTCATAAGAATTGTGCAATATCTAGAAGGAGCTTTGGGCCATGGGTTGTTTTACAAGCTTGGAGGGAGCCTTGAAATAGAAGGTTATACAAACACAGATTGGACTGGCTCAATATTTGACAAAAGATTCAATATAGAGTATTGTACCTTTCTTGGAGGGAATTTAGTGACATAGAAGATCAAGAAACAGATACTAGTAGAAACAAGCAATGTTGAAGCTAAATATAGATCCATGGCGCATACTTCTTGTGAGCTAGTGTGGTTAAACCTCCAACATGAGGTTAGGTACTAAGTTAGCAGCCCCACTGAAAACAAGTAAAGTAGTGGATGGTAATATGTTTTGGTGAATCGTTGAATGTAATTTGTGACAAGTTGTACTATTACTACACCCAGTCTTATGTCACTCTGTTGTGACAACAAGGCTGCTATTAACATATCTCACAATCATAGTATCACATGAGAGGAATAAGAAACTAGGGTGATGTATTTACTATCAAGAACTTGGCTCATTATTCTTTGTAACAGGTTGGGAAAAAATGACATATATGACCCAACTTGAGAGGGAATGTTGCAAACTTGCAATGTTGTGTTTAATGTTGTATTTTCTAACACAAATGCACATGAGGGTATATGCTGATAAAAAAAGTCTACATGAGGGTATATTTGTCTTTTTATCCATCTTTATGACACCCTAATATATAAACCTCATTTGCTTTTACTAGGGGTGGCAACGAGTTGAGCTTTTCATGAGCTGCTTGAGCTCGGCTCGTGAAAAGCTCAGCTCGGCTCAATTTCAACCGAGCTCAAGCCCAATTCATTGGCTCGATTATTAAACGAGTTGAGCTCGAGCCTACTAGAGATCGACTCGTGAGGCTCGCGAGCCAGCTCGAGTAACTGAACCCCTCAAGTATCCTCATTTACTATGGGACCCAATGTGGAAAATGGACGTGGGTGTTGTGGTGAATTACCGGTTGACCAACTTACCCCTGAAAGCTAAATTACTAAAGCCGAAGTAACTGAAAAGAGAAGAAGAAGAAGAAGAAGAAGAGATGCAGGAATGTCGAACTCACCTGCTCAGTCGACAGTACTATTATTTATATTATGGTGTAGTACAATGATACAGGAAGTTACTAGAATGCCCCTGATTAGTGATGGGACACCCAGACAACTTAAAACATTAAACATTAGGCCCATTAACAAACCCAGTATAGGACAACTTAAACTTAAGTATAGGCTAATAAGAACTCTTATCAGCCGAATACTCATACATACAAAGACTTCAATCCAACAACCCCTTGCTAAAAACCGGCAAATGAACGAGGCCATAATAACTATATGGCCACCACAAAACTACTTGGAACCTTTTCAAAGTTGGTGTCCATTCTTTCTTTTCTCTTCCCCGCTCTTCTCAATCGCACTATATACCCTTCAATCTCTATTGAATGAGATAGGCGACCAAAGAATGTGTCCTCTTCATCTTATGACCAAGAAATAAATAAATAAATAAACTATTTCTTGTTGTCCAATCAGTCCAGCAGTGACAGTTTTTTTTCAAAGCAGCATCAAAAATAAATGCAAAGGAAGAAAAGGAAAAGGGAGTGGAATTAAATCAGATTTATGACAGAGATGACTCTGATACCACATTATCTGTCATAGGTGATGAGGAGTGAAGAGGAGCATAAGAATTGAAAGAATCTCCTGTGTGTATTGCCCCAACACTTGTTTTATTATAGGACTGTTTAAAACATGGAAAAGATATAAATATCCCATCATTCCAATAACTAAAAGTTTGCAACAATTAGTCTCGCTAAAATAGGACTGAATCTTACCATAAGTTTAGCATGAACATATATTCATTATATTGTCAAGGATTCTTGACAAAAAAAAAGTTTAAATTTAAAACCTTTTTTGAGGAAAAAACTAATTATATAAAGGAATTCTGTGTACCTGATATAACTGCACTCACCTTCAAAGCATGTTCATCACTTATCCCCACCCCAATATACACAAACACACACACCAAATATAATAAACATGTTTGAAATGTCAGAAATATTGTATGGAAATATTGTAAAATTATAGGCAGAGTGGAAACATTGTAAAATATGCAAAATATAGAATGATATTTTATGAAATGATAAAAGAAGCATAGGCACACATTTTTAAATTATTATCTTGTTCCAAATCATTAAACAAAGCTAAGAAACTAAGGTTATAGACAAGAATATGTTCTGAAAGTTGCCTTGTAAACCTTAAAATTAAGAGATTCGAGTTACAATGAATTAAAGCAGAATTTAAATTCATAAAAAATGTAAATGGTTGTAATAGATTAATCAAATAATCTATTACACAAACAAAAACTAATATTTAACTTCATGTTTGAAATGAATATTGAGCTAGCCCAAAGTGGTAAACAAGTTAGGCTGGCAATAACATTGTTACTCCACATATCTACAATATTGTCACCGACTTATATTATAATACTATCTCTTGTACTCCACATAGTGCTAGTAGTGTTCACTGGGGAGTATGCCAATTCCAGTAAAATTTAATGTCGCTACCCATGGAAGTTGTAATGGAAATATGCCATGGAAACTGTCTCTTGTACTCCACATAGTGCCGGTAGTGTTCATTGGGAATACATCGATTCTAGTAAAATTTCATGTCACAGCCCATGGAAATGGAAATATGTTGGGGAAATATTAGGGAAATTAGGAACATTTTAAACCATCACATACATGTAGACAGCATTAACAAAAATAAGTAAATAATAAAACAAGTGGGCATCAGAAATCTTAATCTTACGCTTTATGTCGCAACTCCAACCAAGCTTCCTCATCAGAAAGAGGAGGAGATTTACCAATCTCTACTTCAAATCGGAATCTTGCTTTCTCAACTTTTAATGCCTTTATCATTTCAAGTTTTTGATTTCTTCGCACATCAAGCATTTCTGCTGCAAGTGGAACAGTCTTCACATACCTATCCATAACACATTATATTACTTGATGAAAAATGTAAAAGTTAAGGCTTCTACATCAAATGACTAGTAACAAATTAAAGAAATAAAAACGAAGTAATTGTACCTACAATTAAAGAAATCAAGTTCAAAGATTGGAGGTGAAAAGAGTTCGGGGAAACCTTATCCACCCAAGGTGGAAGCATTTGCTGCCCTTGTAGATCTGGATAGTATTTTGACGTTGGACCACATTCAAAGTAGAGGGTTTCAATTGGCAGCTAGATGCTACTTGTGTGAAGATTCTGAAGAGAATGTTTTACATCTATGTTTTGGCTGCCCCTTCTTGAAATTCATTTGGGGTTTTATCTTTGGGTTATTTAAGGCAAATATGGTGGAGCCAAGATCACCAATAGATATTTTGCTTGTTAGCCTAAAATGAGAGGAAACATCTAGGCAAGGATAGTGCGGAGCTGCATCCCTTTTGCTGTACTTTGAGAGATTTGGAAGGAAAGAAATAGAAGAATTTTTGAAGATAAGGCACGAGGAAGGGATCAAATCACTCTTTTATGTGGGAAAAGGATAATGGATTGGATGCTTGTACTTCCAGAATATGAAGAAATCTCAAAGGAAGATCTTGGTGCTAGTTTTTGGTCTCTCCTTGAGCTGGAGTCAAGTAGTTAATGTTAGTAAACCCTAGCAGATTCTAGGTTGAAGTAGAGAAGAAGAAAGAAAAGAGAAAGAAGAAGAAGAAGAAGAAGAAGAAGAAGAAGAAGATGGGACCCACTTGTATTTATTCAAAAACATAGAGTTACAGGAAAGACCATTTTGTCCCTCATAGAAGATGGGACACATAACTTAAACTCAGATACAATAGACCTTTCACTCTCAAGCAGATAATCCAGAATGACCAAAATACCCCTGACTCGAGCATTCTAACAGTTAATATTCTTTTTGTGTAATAATTTGACTGATGTAGTACTTCTTTGGTTTTACTATAAGATCATGTTGGTGATGTCTCATCACCTTGCAGTTGTACTCACGGCCTAGAGCACCCTTCAAATATCTCAACACCCTCTTAACTCCATCCCGATAAACCATTTTTGGGTTTTTCATAAATTGGCTCAACACTCCAACATTAAAGAAGATATTGGGCTGAGTAATAGTGAGATAAATCAATTTACCAACACATTGTCTATACTTCCTAGGGTCAGTCAATGGTACTATCAACATTGGTGGGATACCCATTTAGGAACCCTAGTGGTTGAACCATGTATACTTCCTCTTCAAGATACCCATTTAGGAAAGAATTCTTTATATCTAACTAATTAATTGGCTAAACAAAGTTTGCAACAAGAGATAAAGGACTTGTATTGAGTTCAGCTTTGTAACCAGCACAAAAGTTTCATTTTAATTCTCTCCATACATTTGAGAGAATCCTTTCACAAAAAAAAAAAAAAAAAAAAAAAAAAAAAATCTAGCTTCATACCTCTCTATAGAACTACATGTTCGATGCTTGACTAGAAATACCCACAAAAAAGGATGGAAAGAGGTCTGCACCCATTTTATATTTGAAAATATGTAGATTACCCATCCAAAATTATTGAATTCAATCCAAGGTTCAAAGTATCAACACGTATCGGCCGATACGTATCGTTTCGGGAGCACCACAATATGCCCCTACAGAGGGTGTATCGATACTGCCCCCTAGAGGAGCCTTAAACCGGCCCCCCTAAACCGGTTTTGAAAAAAAATAAAGAAAAAGCACCGATGCTGCCCGATATGCCCCTACCGGCGTATCGGGCGTATCGATATTTAGAACCTTGATTCAATCAAGATATGGTGGAATGAAATGGAAGTGGCATTTGGGAAAAATAGGTATAAATTTGTCAAAAAACTCCAAGAACTGAAGGGGAGGTCAAAGACTTGGAACAAGGAAACTTTTGCGAGGATTGAAGAAAATAGATATGCACTCCTCAACCAAATAGAAGACTTAAGCATATAGGAAGGCCAAGGAAATATCATGGGAGATGAAAGATATTTAAGATGGCAGTTTTATGAAAGTCTAGTTTCTAAGCTATTCATGGAGAACTCCATCTCCTAATATCTGTTTCTTTGTCATAGCATTTAACTAATAATAATAACAATGATAATATGATGGTATTACTTTCAAGTTCCCACCAGTAGTTCAATAAATTTAAGAACAACTGCAAAACTCAGCTGTCAGTATCCCTGCTAGAATATTTCTTGCATCAACCAAAAAGGGATTTTTATCAGGATAATGCAATATCTTACCCAAAATCATCAGGAATATAAATATATGAACCTGGTAAGAAAAGAGTGTTTCCCATGTTTTTGGTACTACAATTGTTCTGGACAAAAGAAATAACTTGATCAAGAAGTGGGTTAAGAAGCATGCCCAAAATTTACCTATCTAAAAATGGCATGAGAACGTAGTCATGAACCAAAAAATCCAATGTCCATGGTATAACCACCAATACTGCCAAAAATTTTGCCTGGAAGAAACACAGAAAATGAATAAGTCTACTCTAGTCTACTTAATAGAAGTGATAACAGAAATCAGAGAATTTAACAGAAGAAAGAAATGGAATTATGGATCACCAAAAAAGAAAAGGAAAAGAGAAGAAGACTATTATTCATTTGCAGACTAGTAGTTTCAGAATTGGTCATGACAGGGAGTAAACTGAAAAATAGGTCTAGATATACTAATATTTAAGTTTTTTTATCAATAACTTGTGAAAATTCATTAATAGATAAAAGGTGAACAATAGGTACAGTATAAAGAATCATACAGTGGAGATAAACCCTCTTATCTCTCCCCAAAAGACTTTTCCTTAATTTTATAATTGTACCCAAAAAAGCTGATCCCTTTACACCCCTTGTTTAGCTAGAGTATCAGCTGAGGAATTAGCATTTTTTTAACCCATTTAGGCTTCCTATTATAAAAAGGTAACTTTATGTTTCCTGTAACTAATTCAAATAAACATTGGAAAAAGCATATAAAAATATCCAACTGACTTGGCTAAGGGAAGCAAATTTCTAGTATATTGACAACAGAGCAGATAACTAACTATATTTCAATAAGTTCAGAGGATTGCCTGAAGATGGTCTTTTGAGCTTGAATGTGCTAACCATCCACAGGGCATAGAAAGAGGTTCATGAAACAAATAAAAATGCTTGACCCATCCGGAAAAAAAAAAAACAAAACAAAAAAAACAAAAAAAGAACAAAACTTTTTTCCTGTATTTAAAATATATAATTCCGAACCTATGAATCCAATTTTTTGCTTGCCTGGCCAAATCACAGGGACTTTCCAATTTTTTACGCTTTCACCATATCTGTGCAACGTATTTAACTATTAAAGTCATTATTTTTATTGCATATTCATCACTATGTAATTCAGATCTTCTACCATGTTCTCCTTACCGAACTTGATGAGGTATACTGAGATTTTCGAATGACTTACCGAATTTGATGAGGCATACTGAAAAACACGGTCTTCGTATAGCAAGTCATCATCTTCTTTCCCAAGAACCAAGTCCCTTACAGAGTCAACAAAGCCTTTCTCAGGTATCATCTCACTCTGATCGACCGGGATATCATCCCTTGATTCCCCGAGCCCATCAGACCAATCCTGAACCCAAGAAGAACTGTCATCCTCAGGTGTTCCCTCCACCAGCCAATCTTCCCATTCTCGACTCGCTGCATTCCTCATATCTTTCTGTGCCTCCCTCAGCTCTGTAATTGCCTCAGCTCTCCTCTTCCAGGCTTCGAACTTTTCCCCCTCCGACAGTTTGTTTTCTCCTGAACTCTCAGGATCCTGAAGCAAATCGTCCTCCTTGAAACCAAACCAATTCCCGTCTTCATCAATAAAGAACTTCTGCCACCAAGTTCTTTTCCCTGAGTGCCCATTCCTCGCATTCGGAATCAACCCACGAAGCCGTCTCCTTCCACCAGCCAATAGAACCACAGAATTCGATGTATTGCGGGACGGTAGTGTCGTTTGGAACGCACTCCGTTTACAAGCAATGAAACTCTCGGCTAAGACCATGGAAGTGCTCATTAAGGACATAAATAAAACGACACATTTTTCAGCCTTGCGGACTCGTATTATCCAGCAACCTCTGCACTCTAATTTTCACATAATCCCAAAAAGGAACCATGAAATCACTCACCGAAAGAAAAATGACGATTTAAAACGAGCATTCTTCAGTCTTCCCAAATTTAATTTTCTCCGCAAACGAAATTCAAAGTCATTCTCTTCAAAATTCAAGCAACCCTCGTACAAAGCCTCGAAACACAAGCATGATCGACACAGATCAAAATCCCAAGAATTCCTCGAATGAATTAAAACGGAAGAAAGAAGAACTCAAACAAGTCCCTTCTGGAACAAAATTTCTCTGGACTGGAAATCAATGAAATAATTCCAGAATCTCTCCCAAATTTTGCTAAGCTGAGAGAAATGGCAAGCCTCTACAGATTCCTGGAACCTAAAAGAAACCTAGAACTGAAAAACCACGAAAAGAAACTCTTCTTCGTATTCTCATCTGACTTTTCTCTTTTTCGGTCATCTGAAGCCTGAAGGTGTACGACACTCGATCAGGCCAAGTGAAAACAAAGAACAGAAGCGGGAGAAAGGATAACGGCTTCAAGCGATAGATAGACCAGACCTGTTCATTGTAAAAAGACGTAATTAGCCTTCCTTATCTATCAAAATTACAAATTTTTATTTCTTGGTGAAATTACTTAAATCTCCTTGTGTCTTTTTAACAATGCTTTGAAGGAAATTTAATAATTTATAATCTTAAGATAATCAACATTTAAAATTAGACTGATTGATTCAAAAATTAATAAAAATTTCGAAAAAGTACGGACAGGCTCAATGCAAATTTCTGATTTCCACTATAGAACATAAACATTCAAAATATCAAAAACCCACACTATATACCATAGAGTGAACTGTTATTCTCCCAAATAATTTTGATAGCCTATCTACATTTCAAATTATAAAAACCCCCACCATATCATCAAAGGCCTATGTGGTTATTGCCAATATGGGATTCTTAAACAATATTGCATACAACAAAAAGCCTATATCAAAATCACCCTTAATGTTTGGGTGATTTGAAAATAAACAAAAAGGGTTTTGTAGTTTTTCTCCCACTCCCTCTGTCTCTTGATTTCCCTCACACTCTCTCATTCTTATAAACGTCTCTCTCTGCTCAATGACTGTGTGATTTGAAATAAACAAAAATGGTTTTTGGTTTCTATATTTACGTTATCTTTGTCAAATTTGTATAATGATTTGTGAATTTGTGAATTTTATTAGTGTTTGGGAAATAAGACGGAAATAAGTGCTTATTTTAAAAATAAGGGCTTATTTTTTAAGCCCAGATTTCCAACTTTTTTAAGTGCTTATACAATAAGCACTTATTCAAATTCGTTCTCCTAGAATTGTCCTCATTAAATTTTTAAAATACCAATTATGCCCTTTCAATATTGTTACTTTTAGCAACAACATTGTTCCGTTTACGAAAGTACTTTTATGGAAACACTTTTACAAAACTACTTTTACAAAAGCACTTTCATGAAAACAATTTTATAAAAGTACTTTTACATGAAAGCACTTATATGAAAGCACTTTCATGAGAGCACTTTTATGAAAGTACTTTTATAAAAGCACTTTTACAAAAATACTTTTACAAAAGCACTTTTACAAAAGTACTTTTATAAAAGCACTTTTACGAAAATAATTTTACAAAAGCATTTTTATGAAAGTACTTTTATCAAAGTACTTTTATGAAAGAACTTTTACAAAAGCAATCAAAGTGCTTTTATTCATTCACTTTGGATTGGATATTTTGAAATTTTGAAAGAAAATGAAGGGAAAAAGAGTCACAAGTACTTATTTAAGTGCTTAATGGAGAAAAAGACTACCAAACATCCAATATAAAATAAGTGCTTATTTTTTTTTAAATAAGCACTTGAAAAAGGTGGGTGCCAAATGTAAATAAGTGCTTATTCGAATAAGCACTTGTTTTTAAGCACTTATTTTTAACATAAGCACTCCCAAACATGACCTAAGTTAGTCAAGGGACCAACCACTTGTACAATCAAGTTATAAATTTCTAAAGTTTGTGTAAATTTCATAATCAAGAGTTTCTTGTGAACTTTTATCAAATTGGTTTAATGACTTTAGAACCATACCAAGTTGGTCTTATGTTCTTCTATATGGTTTGATTAATATTGTATGTGCCATGTGTGTAAGAAAAATCAAAATAAAGAAGGAAGAGACAAAGAGATTGAAAGGTTCGTGGAGAGAAACCGAGAGAAAATAAGAGAGATTGAGGGAGAACAAGACATTGATGGAGAGAGACTGAGAGAAAACAATAGATATTGAGGGAGAATGAGAGATCGACCAATGAAGAGAATGAGAAAAATCAACCAAGAAAGAGATTGAGGGAGAAAGATAGATTGACAGAGAGAACAAGAGAAATTGACAAAGAAAACATAAATATAGAAACTAAAAAACATTTATTTATTTATTTTCAAATCACGGTCATTTTCTTTTTGTAAAAAGAGCAAATTTATTAATAAAAGAAAGGTGTCTTTAAAACATTTGAGTAGCCTCGGCTACCACTTACAACAAAAAAAAAAGAAAGATAAAACCCTAGTGACTTTGCTCTTCAAGGTTACAACTATGCCCAAAAAAATTGATCTCTGTTGTACACCTTGTTTTGCTCTGATTGGCTAGATTGTTAGCTGACCTTGGAACCCAATAAATTAATAGTTTCATGTCTTTTGACAATTTTCTAAATTTTTTGATCTCATTTCTGAACCACTACAGTGTTGTTTTTCTTTTCTTAGCCAAGTCAGAATCACCTTCAATTATTAGCTTCTGAATACCTAGCTCCACAACGTTCAATCAAACATCACAACCTTCAGCTCTAATCTCGTGGAGTCTCCTTCCCCAATTGGTCCTGAAAACAAACCCAAAATTCCCCTCTCCCATTTCTTAACATCCCACCTATCCTCAATGGACCTGGATTGCCATCAAAGTTTGGTTTGAGAAAATAAAAAAAGTCATAGTCTTGACCCAATGTATAACTTTAACCACAATGCCTTGAAAATAGCTCCTGCATTCCTTCTTTTTACCTTGAAAATTCTAAAGTTTTTTTATTCCTAGATCATCCATAACATTGCTGAATGTGGATGAATTGAAGAGTATCTTCCCTCTTTTTCTTGGGCACCTGAATGTGGATGAATTGAAGAGTCTGTCCAAACTGCTTGGGGTACACTATTTACAATCAAACAACACAAAAATTCTCTCCCAAATACATTCAACAAAGGGACAAAGATATGAAAGATGCTAAGCATTTTCACCATTAAAATTACACATGATACACCTATTTGGAGAGAGGCACCAGTCAAGTCTCTTCCTTTGCAACATGTCACAGGTGTTCATTGCACCATGAAAAACTTCCCAACAAAAAGCCGCCCACTTTGGGGGGTATAGGCCGACTCCAAACTTCTTTTAATGGAAAGGAAACATAAGGGAGATTTAAGGCAACCAAAGCATTGAAAAACGATAACTATCATATCATCAATTAATCCACTTGACCCAAACCACTAGTCCACCATCCAAAAAGGAAAATAGTTTGATTTCCAGGTTGACATTAAATTTTGTATTACATTTCCATCATTGATAAAATTATTTCTTATGTATAATACTTATTTTTATTCAATATAATGAATGTATAATATTGGAGATGTACCAAATATTTTATTTTTATAAATATATAACATTAGATATGTTCCCAAAATTTTCTCTATTTTTTTTATTTTTGTGATTCATTGTATTTTCTATTTTTAAAAATTTTATTATTTGACTATGACACCATTTCATTTATAGGTTGATTTTAAATTTGGCATTCCATTATCATTAATAAAAATAGTTCTTACATTTCATACTTATTTTTGTTTAGTATAATGAATATACGATGTTAGAGATATGCCCAAATATTTTTATTTTTTATATCATATATTTTGTATATTTTAATTTTTTTTATTTAATTATGACATTATTTATTAACCATGTGACTCCAAATGGTTGAATTGCTTACCCACCAATGGAGGGAAGAAAATGGTTTTGCTTTTAAATTATTTTTCAAAATATTTCTTTTTATACTATTAAAATTATTGTTGTGGATTTAAATAGTAAAATTTAATGATGAGAAAATCTATCTTAAATATAGGATTTAATGAGAGAATATACCTTAGATATTAGATTTAATGAGAGAGAATTGGAAAATAGTTTTATTTTCAATTGGTTTTAGATTTTACATTCCATTTCCATAATTAATAAAAACATTTCTTATTTATCATGCATATAATTGTTTAATATGTCAAATGTATGATGCTAAAAATGTTCTCAATTTTTTTAGTTTTTATATTTTTTCATTTTATCTATTTTTCATTTTATTATTTAATTGTGGAAACATGGCTTGGCCCATTTGACCCAAAATGATTTAATTTCTTACCATCACCTAGATGAAAACACAATTGTTCTAGGTAGATTATGTTATTAAAATTATTAATTTATTATTTATGTATTTAATTAATAGAATTTAATGATGAGAAGAAACAAAAATGCCTTAAACATATGATTTAATGAAGGGCTAATGCAAGTTAATAACTTAAATTTTAGATACAATGAGAGGGAATTGAATGCATTGAATATTTTAAAGTTACCTCTTTTCAACTCATTTAATATCAATAACCAATTTGCCTATTTGCCCCCATTTTTATCAATAAATTTAAATATGAAAGGGTAAATTTTGTCCTAAAAAATTTCTAGAAATATTCATGAGGCTATTAGTGCTTTTTAAAGTAGTATAGATATATCTATAATGTTAAGTCTTTAAGGCTAATTTTGGAAAGACTACAAATACAAATATATACAATACAAACATATACAAAATACAAGGCTTTGCACTCTACAAATTTGTATTTATACTCCTTTCAAACTGAGATTAATTTGTTGAAAAACAAAGAAATTTGTTTATTTAAATGGTGTCCCATATTTATGAGATATAGGATACCAGGCCTTCTTATTTATGAGATATAGGATACCCTAGGTCATTTTCTTTAATCAATGATATCTAGTGTACAAGTAGCAAAATCAGATACAAGAGTAAGTTCAAGGAAAATGCCAATCTGAATTTCCTACTCGCAAGAATCCTACCCACAGGACACTAATGTTGTACATCAGGAACATCTCTCCATGAATGGTAATGTGCAAATATCAACATGTGGCTATAGTGATATATGGGTAGGGTATCCAATCACAAAAAATGCTCAAGGAATTAGCATCAGGTCTAACATGGCATGTATGTACCATGGTGAAGCATCATTGATCACCCAAAAATTTTGGAATAATTCCAAAGAATTTTCTTTAGGTTATATTTGGTTTGAAGGAAAAGGTAGGGAAAAGGAAGGAAAAACATTCCTTCCAAAATTCCTAAGATTGTGTTTGGTTTAAAGGAAAAGACAAGGAAAGGAAGGAAAGCTTCTTCCTGATTTCCCTTTCTTTTCTTGCAAACCAAACACAACATTAACGAAAAGTCAGGGCCTTGGCACAATTATAGCTAGGCATTTGGAAAGAGTGAGAGCAATGCCAGCGACATGATCACCATCCTCATTGCCAATTATCGATATTATATATAAAAGTGTGGATGCAATGTGCAACTTTTTTTGGACTAAAATTATCCTTTATTTCTTTGTTTGAGAAATAGTATAAAAGTCATTTTATTATAGCTTTAGTGTTAGCTTTAATCGTTACTAAAATGACAATATTTGTGTATTTAATCCATTTCTAATTGTAAGAGTTGAAAATGTAACTTCAATTATTACTTTCCACCTCATTTAATCCCCTCTCATTAAGTCTTATACTTAAGGTATTAAATTTCATTTTCTTTTATTAAATCCTATATTTTTGAGTTATTTTTCACTAATAAATGCTACTAATTAGATATATGTCAATATTTTTAACAATATAAACCCATATATTTTAAAACTTGAACAAAAATAAAACCATTCTTTATCCAAGTGGTGTCTAAGCAACTCAACCATCCAGATCAAATTGATCAACCTATGAAAAAGTCATAGTTAGGTAATAAAATTTTTAAAATAGAAATAAGTATATAAAATTATGAAAAATGTAGAAAAAATTAAACACATTTATAATATTTTTACTAATCAAATTAAAAAAATAAGTGTAATAAAAAGAATTATTTTTATTGATAATGAAAATGAAATACATAATTTAGAACTGACCTAAAATGAAATATAAAAATCAATAATAAATAGTTCAACTTTTGGGTTAAATTTGCTAGCCTTTAATATCATAAATAAATAATAAAAAATACATAAATTTTACAAAAAAAAGCATTCATGCACATGTATAATATCATATATTTATCATATTAAACAAAAAGTAAGATCGGTGCGTGTATCTCAACTTTCTAATATAAGATCGATGTTTAATCTCTCATATCTTGCACTAAAAGCGCCATGACTAATTTTGGCCATTGGGAATAACCGAACAAGATTATAATAAATAATAAAATAATATATTTATATTTATATATATAGTGTATATATAATATATATAATACACTAGTAGATTCGGTTAACCACCAGTTTTTCTTTTAAGCTAACAAAGAAACAAGGGATAAGTAGACTGCACTCCACCTCAGAATTCTGAATTAAATTGCAAACCTACAACAATTCAAAATTATAAACACCGAACCAATCAATTTAGTTAACAGCATGGTTTTCAAAACCGGACCAGAAAAACCGGGAACAGTCAAGTCACCGGTTCCATTTTACCCCCGAGCCGTTATTTCCCCCAAAACCATTGGTTTGGTCAACAAACTTCTGACCCGGGTGGTCGAACCATTTGAAGCGTTCAACGGTTTGACCAGTTTTTTTTTTTAATTTTTTTGTCAAAACAGGTTCAAACGGTCAGACCATTCGACCCTGACCTGTTCGTTATCCAGTTCAGTTTTAAAAACCTTGGTTAACAGAATTTGAATTTTTCAGTATGGTTCAACTTTTGTTTCCTTCATATACTAATAAGATATGCCCTCTATATAGTATCATGCTAATATTTTGAAACTTGGATAGATTTAAAGTAGTCAACAAACATTTTTGCCATGTCCTCTTCGCTAATGATTGATCTCCCATCCACTACCAATATTAAAAATCAAATTATTCTTTCTTCTACAATTTGCCAGCAAATGAAAGAACTTTTAGTGTTTCCGATCACTCAGCCGTTTGCATCGCGACTTTTAAACCAGCTATCTGAGTTAAATTACATAAAAGGATTCTTCGGAAATCATTACTGGAACTAATTCTACAGTTTTAAGATTATTTTAAATGCTTATTTCTAGAAAATTTGCAAATCAAATAGCAAGCGCTAAATGGTTTTGGAATAGAAACATGAATGAAGAAGATAACCGATATCTACACATTTACCAAGTACCAAGTTCTAACTGATTCAATTCCAGCACTCTAGTTGAAAAAGATCTTGAACAACAGGAAAAGAAAAGTTGAAAGAATATATTTTATGTATAACAACCAAGAGTTTGACATGGTATCAAAAAAGAAAACCGTACTGAAATAATAATAAAAAAGTGGGTGGTAAAAAGGGGAAACAAAGAGGGAAGATCTCCACTCCGTAGACTTGTAGTTTGATCAGACATGGATTTCATTATGCCTCATTTGATAGGGGATCAATAGACCTTACAAATCTACTTGCTAAATCAAGAAGAAACAAAATCAGTTGATCCCAATCATGAAGTATCACAAAGATACAGGACAAATGGCTAATCTCTTGACTACTCTGCAGAGCGACATTGCAGTAAAAGATGAAAGGTTCAATTGGAAGCTGATTTGGCCATCTTATCTGCAAAACATCTTTCTAAAACAGTAGTTGGACTGCCAAAAGTTGGTCTGGTTTCCAGAAAGCACAAGGTTCCAAGAGCTCCATTGGCCATCAAGATTTTTGGTAGACAAAAGCATTTTCTGTTAGTAATGATCCTAGTCGAAGCATAAGAGGATATACAGGACTGAATTCCTTGTCTCCTCTAGCCCTAACCTTTGCAGCATAATCATCAAGTGTTGCTTTGATGCCTTTCCATATCTGATCCTCTCCTTGAGAATCCAGCCACAATGAATACTGCAAAGGCGTAAGTTTGTTCCGTTGCATTGGTGACTGTAATTCTTCAGGACCTCGAGAATACAAGTGGTGGAGTATCACACTGGGTGGCAAATCTTGAAGAAGAGGAGAAGCCCCCAGTTGAGATGTTTCTAAGAAAATAACAGGACGAAATGCACGAAGTGCTCGATATGGTGCACCAAGCTGTTCCACTGGAAACAAGTTCTGACCAACTGCCAATTCCAGCTCAGCCATGTCCCTTGCCATCCTAAGCTTGCCTGACTCTGAAAGAGGCCGTACAAGAGAAGCATGGCGAATGAAGAATATTAGAACCCGTGATGCCATACTCCTTAGTAGACGTGTACATATTGTCTCTGTACCTGTGCTGATAACATTAGTTGAAGAGGAAGGTAATAGCCTAGACAGGAACTCACTGCGGAAGTGAACTACGCACTTCTGCAACTCTTCTATGTAAGATGATGCATTATTGTCCATTGCAGCATCCATTCCATGCACACTAAAGTTCTGCTCATGGATTTGCAAAATGCAAACCTCAAGACGGTCAAGCATAGCTTGGAATAAGGATGTCACAGAATCATGAGCAACTCCATAAATAACACCGAGGGAAGGAGACAAGACCTCCGAAGCAATAGCTGGTAGCCCCATTATTGTGGATGAAATGCGTGCATGAACTTCTTGCAGATGTTGATAGAGAGTGAAGTTTTTAAGTTGTGATGGAGTTGCAGGACCAGTCACTTGACGAGCTTCAGGACCAGCAGATATCTGTCATTATAAAGTGCATATCAGCTTTGCTTGAAAAACAATATTAAATCGATAGGTTTTATAAATATTAATTTCAAACCATGTTATATCTGAGAGTGAGGTTGATGGCTTTTTATTACATTGCAACACAATACTACTAAGGGAAAATCTATGATGCGGAAAAGATATGGTAATGGGAAGATATGGCTTTTTATTACATTACCCATGATTTTGATAAATAACACCTGATTGGCTACCACGTTTATGATTCTAGTTGACTGGTCAGAAGTTTTTCAGATATCATATCTTTTCCATATCATAGTCGAACCCTACTACTAAAGACACTTAACAAAAAAATTTATGACATCCAACTCGATGCATGTATTTCACTCACAAATCTTATAATTAGATGAACGTGAATAGGACTGTATTTGGAAAAGGACTTGTGCATATAAAAGAAGAACCGTTGCTTGGGGTGAAGGTACTTCAAATGCCACTTCATGCAAGTAAAAGCCAAATGTGAATACCCAGTCCATCCTCCAAGACTCCAAATAGACAGGTTCAGCATTTGAGTAATATCCCTAATTGTCATATTATAGAGGAAGCAATAAGGAATGTATCAGAAATTTCTTCGAAGACACCATGGTGAGTGTTAAAGTTCAGCCTGCCCTAGAAATCTGTTTTGTTTGTTAGCTGTAAAGTAAACAGCAAGAAGGAAACGAAGAAAGAAGAGGGAAGAAAGAGGAAGGAGAAGAGAAAAGGTCTGGTTCGAAAATTAGGAAAAAAAGTCAACCTAGTTTTGGCCAGACCTGTTATTATATTATTAATGTGACTGGAAAAGACAAAAGTTAAGTATGAGGCACTCGAACTAACATAATAGTACACATCAGCACTCTCAACAGGTACAAAGACCGAAATACCCCTTCACTAACACTCCCCCTCAAGCTGGTGAGTATATATCATATAATCCCAGCTTGTTACATATATAGTCCACTCTCCCCTGACTCAAACCTTTTGTAAACAAGTCTGCCCACTGATTTCCTATATTAACATATGCAGTCTCTTCCATTCAGCACCTTCTCTCTCACAAAATGACAGTCAACTTCGATGTGCTTGGTTCTTTCATGAAACACTGGATTGGAAGAGATATAACCGCTGCTTGATTGTCACAATAGAGCTTCATTGGAGTACTGATGTCATATCCTATCTCCTGTAGAAGATCCTTAGCCATACTAATTCACAAGCAGTATGTGCCATGGCCCTATATTCTGCTTCTACACTGCTTCTTGCCACAATTGTTTGCTTCTTACTTTTCCACATTACCAGGTTACCCCCCAGGAAGGTACAATAGCCTGTGGTAGACCGTCTATCAGACAAGGAACATGCCCAATCAGCATCGGTGTATCCTTCTACTTCCAGTTTTCCACCACTTTTGTACAGTAACCCATGGCCAGGGGCTCCTTTCAAGTACCTCACAATCCTTAGCACTGCATTCCAATGTGGGACCAAAGGTTTCTGCATGAACTGACTCACCACACTAACCGCAAATGAAATATCTGGC